AAGAAGAAGAAGGAGAAGAAGGAGAAGGAAGGAGAAGGAAGGAGAAGAAGGAGAAGAAGGAGAAGGAAGGAGAAGAAGGAGAAGAAGAAGATGAAGAAGAAGAAGGACAGTCGGACGTCGGCAGTTCTACCACGTACATCCATGACCTCAACGCCCTTTTTCACCATTCCACGGTCCACCTCACCCGAGCCGACTTCAAAAGTACCGACGTACTACAACATGGTGCCATTTTGCCGAAACCCAATCGTGTGAGTTTGCCTGGGCCAAGACCTCTGGAGAGGAACGGGTGCGAGGGCCGGGAGGAAGTACACAGGAATGCCATGGCGGGACATACGTGGCAGGGAATGCGCACGTCCTTCCAGTTGGCCTCGGCCTGCTGGACATGCTCATGTGCGGTGTCTGGGGCAGCACTTGGACTGGGGCGCGGGGAAGGAGCGGCGGCATGGGGGTTGGATCGCTGCCCCGAGTGAGGCGAGGCCATGTCCATGGGGGCGCGGGAGAGGGGTTGAACATTGGCACGGGGCGAAGTGGAGCGTGCCGTGGGGCGCTGGCCATGGTTAGGGGTGGTGAGGCGCTCTGGGCGAGGCATATCAGCAGCCCTCAGCGGGGCTGATCCATTGTGGGGCGGGTTGGGTGAGCGGCTTCGTGGAGAGTGTGAGCGGGCCTGAGCTGCGGCATGTCCCGCTGCGTGTCCCGGGGAGCGGCCAGGCAGGGCAGCACGTGGCTGCTGGTTTTGGTGAGCCTGGCGGCGCCTCTCATCTGCCTGGGTAGCCGCATCGCGAGCAGAGCAGATCAGAAGAGCGTGAGGTGAGACGAAGATTCGGTGGAGTCATATTTTGGGGGGGCTCATTGCGTCTGTAGTTGACAGCGGAGCGTACTTCAGCTTGAAGCTTGGATTGACGCATGGCTTCCACGAGCATAGCTTGCTCCTGCCGCTGAATCTCGGCCTGTTGCTGCGTGGAGTCAAGGGGAGGAAGGACCGAAGAGGCAGAGTCAGCGTGCCGTGAGGCAAACAATTCCGAGCGACAAAATGCGCGAGTGGTGGCTGCATGGCGCATACATGGGCACGCATAGCTTCAGAGGCGGCCGGCGATTCTCGCGGTTGATGCCGGCGGTCACGTTCTGCGCGGCGACGTTCGCGCGCTTCGCGCTCCTTCTCCTCGCGCTCGGCTTTCTTCTTGGCCTCGAGCAGATACATGTTGAGCTAAGTGGTGGCAAGTCAAGGGTGAGGGGCAAGGGCGAGGGCGAGGCCGGTGACCGATGAATCCATTTGGCACCAACGAACCCAGTGCACCACCACAACCCCCTTGCAGAACGAACCGGTAAATCAAGCCGTTTGCTGTTCCAAAACAAGTCCGCGTGTGACGCCCTCGTCCTCGGTCGCCCTCCGTCAGTCAGTCAGTCACTCGGTCAGAAAGTGAGAGAGAGAGAGAGAGAGAGAGAGATGAGGGGTGAGTGGAAGAGGGTATGGGTGGATCGTTGGGCGGAAGCAGAGAGATGTCAGAGGGCGTGTGGGACGTTCGTGGTGTTTGAAAGGGGGATTTGAGAGATGTTGGGGCTTGGCTGACAATTTCAAGAGGATTGAGGTGGATGGAAGAAATGTTCAGAGGGTTTGTGTGTCAGCGTGAGCTTCTCTGGTTGAGTGATGACTCATCATCTACCCTTTTGCAGTAAATGTTGATAAAAATGAAGTTTTGCAGTTTTTAATTCAATCAGTTGAAGAGAATCTTTATGTTTATGCAGAAATATTAAACAAGACTAACTGAGAAAGCGCAGGTATTTTAAAAGTTGTATATGCATGTATCCAGGTTAATGAAGCAAAATGTGAAGAACTTGCTGCCATCGGCTCGATTGGAATGCGATTGTTTGCAGGCGGTTACGTCATCGCATGATTCGTCTGACATTTGGGAAAACATCAAAACTGCTCACTGCTTTCGTGGTTCGTGTCCGATGGCAACGGGGGGCGGGAGCTGGAAATCGCGGTCGAGGTGTCGAGGCAGGGCGCGCGGGCGCAAACGGGAGGAAGCAGGGGGTGGATGAGGAAGGGGTTGGGTTGGAGGTGGTACGGTAGGAAAGAGGGAGCAGGGATAACTGTATGGTGCGCTTGGTGTCGAGGGAGCAGGCGGGAGGGGGTTGTTTGAGTCGGCGTGTGTATGGCATGTCAGCTCACCGTTGAAAATTTGGCGCGGCTCTGCGGTAGCAGAGTAAAAGTGGCAGACAGGACCGGCGTAGCGGCGCGCCATGATCGTGTACCTGCAGCTGGCAGCCTGCAAAGTAAGCAGACTCTGGTCATATCTCATACATGTCGTCACCATCAGCCTAATCTCTTTTATTGGTTTGGCGCAACTCATCCTTCCTCGTCTCACGTTGGTTCGCAGGGCAAGACGCTGCTCATCATCGCTGATGCCGCCGATACTGTGGCACGCATCAAGGCGCTTGCCTATCACACGCTTGCCGCTGAAGATGTCCACGCCGAAGCCTTTCGTGTCTACTACAAGGGCAAATCCCTGCCCGAATTTCTCACCTTGGAGGTAGCTTTTTTGCTCTCCGTTCATTCATCTATCATCCCGCCCAGTCTTTTTTTTCTCGCTTCATCAAAGCTGGTGCCTCTGGTGTGCGCAGGATTGTGGACTCTCAAACACCCGCGATCACGTTGTTGAACTGGTGCCCGTTCAGAGCCTTGCTCAAGCCCCGCTTCAGGTTTGACTTTGTGCTCATCACCCATTGGTTCTTGTTCTTTCGTTCAAGAAGCTTCGTTCCATCACACGCACCCGCGCACATACTACCCATTGCACATGCTTATGCGCCTTTTTTTTTTGCCTTGCCATCCGTCAATCGTCTGCCCCAGAGTCTCTCATTTGCCGACAACGAGCATGCTGCCAAGCTGCTGCAGCAGGAGATGCACTGGTTCAGCCGCCGCGCCCGGCTCCTCCATGCCTACCGAGTCAGTGCACTCTCTTTGAGAACCTTCTTCCTCAGCTCCCACGGTTGGCATTGTCCTCTCTCAACCTACTCACATTGACCCTGGGATCACTGCTGCCGCGCGACGACCCGGTACAGATTCTCCTCTTTTTTTGCATCTTCACTTCACTTGCCAGTCTCGTTTCCTTCCTGTGGTACATCCCCATGATATCCGGTACGCCAATCACGTCGGCCTCCACTCGCTTCGGCCGAGTCGGTGAATTTGCTGCTTTCCTCATCCATGGGCTGCTGCACCCTGGCTGCATAGTTCTGGTGGCTGGCATCGAGTTGGTTAATGTGCCCCAGTTCTCGGATTTGGGTGGCTTCACCGTCCAAATGCTACAATCCTCCATCGCTCACATGGATCGTGCCAAGTATTTCAATTTTCTCTGGGCGATTGCCATTGCCGCTATGATTGCCCTACTCGGTCTAGACTTTGGTGTACGCTTGCGAGCCCTTGCCACCGCGCAACCAGAGACAAGCACCTTTCGCCGCTTACCAGACCGCTTCCGGTGTACCCGCTCCGCCCCTTCCAGGATGATTGCGACATTGTCTGCGAAGAAGACACGTACTTGACTCTCGGCACCTACGGCCTTTTGGCTCTTCTCTTTTTGGGTACCTCCATCGTCAGTTGGTGGAGCAGCTTCAACTTCCGCCGCAGGGCCGGTGATCTTCTCGAGCCCTACCTGCTCAGCATTACCAACATCAACTCGCGATACTTTGCACCACCCGGCACCTCACGTCGCACCCCCCTCCCCACCATCGATGAGCTGTCTTCGCGGTGCGTGTGCAACGGCTCTTCTGCTTTTTTTCTTGCACAACTGCTGGCGCGCTGCAGCCAGAAATTTCGAAGCATTTTAGGCCCCTTTCGCACCATTGCTTATTCTTGTTTGTTGTTCGAATTCACACGCTCTGTGATGTCGGCTGTTCAGCGATACGTTGGCATTTGTGCAGCGCATTCACGCCTTTTTGAATGAGTCGGCCAGTAATTGCCTGCTTCTCTGCCAGCTGCAGAGGTTTGTGCACATCGTGACGCATGAACTTTTGTTGCTTGCTGCTCGTGTGGACCTGCCTCGCTCATCAACGCCATGTCGCGCCCATCAGCGTTATTCGGTTGCTTGAAGTGGCTGGTGGTACAGGACAGGCCAGTGAGCTGGCCATTCTCTGCCTGGAGCGCATGCTGCGCTATCTTAGTACCCATGTGAGGTCCCAATTCCTTCATTCTCGTACTTCATGAACAGGCCTCACCTCGACTGGTTCTCGCGTTGGCTCGCGGGCTGTGTGCAGCCCACTTTACTGGAGCATGGTGTGGTTGAGCGGATTCAGAGTCACCTTGCGAGCAACCCGATCCAAGCGGAGCAGCCGGGTCTCACTTGCTTAGTGCACCTGTGTGCAGTAAGTCTTGGCGACGTCACTCTACTTGGTCACCGCAGCCAGCACGGGCCTTTTCACCCTCGGCCTTGCCCTTGCTTGTTGTTCTGGCCACATTTGCCCACAGACGGACCAGGCTTGCCAACATGTTCTCAAAGCTGGAACCCTTGAGAGCCTCCGCGACATTGCCAAGGGCTGTACGTTGTTTGTGGGCTGCGAACATCTCGCAACGCGACCCTAGCGGCAACGATCCTTCCTCACTTTTCCTGGCACATGTCACTCAGTGCTTCCCAAAAGTAACAACTCGTTGGCCACCATCACGTCCGCACTGATGCGTGCCAACCATTATGTATGTGACGCCTTGTCTGCGTGTGCTCTTTCATTTGTTCTTGCATGCATCCTCTCATCACGCTTCTTATTGCACCACACAGGAGGCCACATCGGAAGATGTAGAAGACTGCGTGTTCTTGGTGCGGTGTGTGCTGCAATCAGCGCCCAATGGCGACTGCTATAATGCCCTGGCCTGCCTGAACGACTTGCTTGAGCTGCATCTTGATGAAATCAACGATGCCACCCTCGGGCGCCTCATCATCAGTTGGCAGGCTTTGGTTGAGGTGAGTTCGGGCGGGCAGCTACGGAGGAGGAAACGTAGCGCTGGATGTATTTGCACAAAAACACATTTTGCGGGCTCTCATGAGCATTCTCTGTTAAATTAACCTCGGTTTTAGACGAGCGACGTCGAGGTTGCCATCTTGGCTGCTCAAGCGTGCGCCAGCTTTTGTCATGTACGGGCCCAGCCTGCTTGTCAACTTTCACGTGTCGCCATTTTCATCGGCGGTAGGGGCTATTCTCATGCCAAGTGGCACTGTGTGTCGTGGGTTGCGTGTAGCATGAGCATGGGCTGCAAGTTATGATGCAGTATCAAATGTTGGACAGCATGGTCAGCTTGCTCCGACCCTTCTTGTCGGTGGACGAGGGCATGTTGGTGGCGCAGCCATTTTATGCCTGTGTTCGACGCTTGGATATGGAAGGAGGGCTAGACTTGGATGAGGGGGCCCAAGCAAGCTTGACGGCTCTTCGCTCCATGATTGCCGAGCGTTTGGAGGTAGCGGACCTTGAAGGCGAGGACATGGACGTCATGGACACCTCTTCTTGACACCCAGGCGATGCTGCTTCTGCCATCTGACTTTATAGGCGACTCGTTTGATTGATTTGTGTTCTTGCTCCCCGAGCTGTGCCTCCGGTAACCGTACGCACGCTGATTTCGTGTTTTGTTCATAAGGGACTATGGATACGTGAACATAAGTGTTGTTGAACAGAAGAAAAACGAACCAAAGCAGTACCAGCATGGCAACAGGCCACTGATTGACTCTTTGTTGATTGAATCGATTCTGCATGTGGATGTCAGTTAGTGGCATAGCACACTGTTCAGGTGCATCTGTGACTTGAGCAAGGGGCATCATCGCGTGAGGCCCTCAAGGATCAATGTCAAGCTCAAATTCGGCGATCAGGCTGTGGCGATGCTGATCAAGATCTGGCGGTCCCATGTGGAGGGTGGCGGGAGTGCGCGCAAACTTGACAGCCAGGCCCGGGACCGAAATATCGTGACCATCGGCCATTGAAACTGATTGAACCATGTCGCGTGCTTGAGCCTAAGGAACAGCCGTCGTGAAGGTGGGGGTCAATATTGCGCTTGGCCTTGCTATTCATGATGTGGCTATTTCGAGGTTGGCAGCTGCGCTTTGCAGCGACCAACCTGGGGCTGAGCATAAGCCTCGCAAACATTGAGGATCTCGCCATACGCAAACTTGGCCTCGCCCTGTTCAAAGTGGCTGACCCACTCACACGCAGAGCGCTGTGCCAAGGTATCGGTCAGTTTGGTGATCAAGGCATCTCTACCAGAATCATGTTGTATGTCAGTTGAAGCAACGGGTTACTCGAGCCGCGCGAGGGGTGCAATTGCACCACGACATCCAAACGGCATCCAAACCCCTCCAACCTGTGTTGGACGCGAAGAGCATTCGAGGCAAATCGTTCATCCTAGCCGCGTTGAGTGGGCGAGGACAGAAGAAAGAGTGATGCCACAGCAGTGGGCGAAGCTGTGGGCCAAGACGGATCGAGCTGCTGCTTGTTGCTGACCTGGGCCAAATGGTCACATTGCAAGAGTTGGCACAAATGTTGAAATTGACGTTCAGATGTGGCAGCAATTGAGATGTGTCCTTGCTTAGCAGGGAAGGACTGATAGGGAACAATGCTCTAGTCGAAGACACCCAGGAGCAGGGCGGAGAGGATAAGGACAGGGGTTGATAAAAGAGGGAAACGAGAGAGAGAGAGAGGGGGGGGGGGTGGAGACTTGATTTGGTTGAGAGGGAGGGAGAGAAGCGGTGGGGACTTTTGGGTCGTAAAAGTTGGCAAGGCAGGGTTGTGTCAAAAAGAAGGAGGGGAGGCGGGGGTACACACTGGGTGGGCACTGCCATGGCGACGGCCAGGTTGTTGCGCTTGAAGAGCATTGACTCCCGTGTTGGCCATCACGCTCAGCTGGGCTTCAAGCAGCGATGTCTCAATCTTTTGGCCCAAGCCAGAATGCTCCCGTTCGTACAGCGCGGCCAAGATGGCCCCATGAGTGTACAGGCCGGTCACGACGTCTGTAATGGCCACGCCAGTCTTGGATGGAGGAATTAGGGCAGGTCAGATCATTTGCTTCAGACTGAGGCAAACTGCTCACGCTTGAGATGAGGTGTACCTTGGCTGGTGGACCATCTGGTTCGCCAGTGATGTGCATCAAACCGCTGAGGCTGGCGGCTATGAGATCGTAGCCTGGTCGATTTGCTAGAGGTCCCGAAGAGCCATAACCTTTCCAGGGATGCAGTCCAGGGTGCAAATGCAGGATTAGGTGGGTCGAAACCAAGGCTTTGTGGAGCGATGTACCTGTCAGCTCGCAGTAGATGAGGCGACTGTTGAGGGCGCCGAGCGTGTCATAATCCACGCCAAGCTTCTTCGCAGTAGCAGGTGTAAAGTTGTGGAGCAGCACGTCACTGCTTGCAACCATTTTCTATGAGGGTCGACACAAAAAGTCCGTGCAGGGTGCGCTTGTCACGAGGCGCATCCTCCACATGTTGGTGTTTGTGTTGTTGCTAGTCTTTTCTGACAGCGGGCTGGCAGGTGTAAGCGACGTACCCGGAGGGCTTCGCGTTCGCGTTCTTGCTTGAGGTCCAGGGTCAACGACCGCTTGTTGCTATTGACGGCAGTAAAGTAGGATGCTGTTCCGTTTGGTAAAAAAGGCGGTCCCCATCGCCGCGTCTCATCACCAGCTGTCCAGGAGGATGAGAGGTTGCCGTGCGCACCGCGGCAGTCGAGTCAGTCGGCCACGGCAATGGCAGGTCTGGATGTGTGGATAGCTGCTCACCTGGGGGTTCAATCTTAATGATGTCAGCACCATAGGCACCTAGCAGCTGAGTAGCCAGCGGACCCGCCAGAATCCTGGACAAATCAAGGACCCGCAGCCCGCGCAGCAGGCTGGCCGAGCTCGCAGTCGTCGCTGCCATGCTTTGTTTGAAAATTTCGTTATGAGCAGAACATGCTGACAATTTTTTTTGATTTTTCATGTGTGTGTGTGTGTGTGTGTGGGCTTTCGCGCATTGAGATGGAAAAGGGGGAGGGCTTCATCGTACTTGAAAGAGCTTGGAGAGAGATGTTCAAAGGAGCAAAAGGAACGGGTGGGGAGTAGTGATGCTTCAATTGACATGGAAAACAAACAAGGGGATAGATTATGGATACGGCAAGAAATGCATATAACAGGGGAGGAAGAAAGGAGCGCTTGCGCTGTTGGAGGACAGGGCAATGGATACCCAAGACCAACAAGGTCGTGAAGAAGCAACTGCTCAGGCCTTGCTGCTTTCTTCTTCGGGGGCCGTTTGATGGTCTTTGCAGCACTCGCACATTGCCAAGAGGCTGGCCACCACGTTGCAAGCAAAGCCAACCATGAAGATGGCAAAGGAATAGCCTGTTTGGGCGGGCACGTGGCCATGAGAGAAAGTGCAAGGCAGATAGCAATGGATGTCATTGGTGTGCATGCGATGGGAAACTTAACGCACCAACGCCGAGGGTTTGGGGCCCGGGGTACATGCGTTCGTCGTCCGGCACACCCGAGATGCGCTTCTTTTCCTGGGAAAAAAAAAAAAAAAAAAAAAAAAAAAACAAGGCAAGGACACCATATTTAAACAAAAGTGAGGGCAGCGAAAGGTGCTGGTAGGCTTAAAGATGGGAGTGGGGACGCACGTCTTCCAAGTAGCCGCCCATGATGGAGCTAGTCAAAAAGCCCATAAAGCCTAGGAGCAAAAACGACATGATCATCAAAAACGACACGAGCATTCAAAACGACACGAGCAGTAAAAAACGACATGAGCATCGGAAAGCAGTCCTTGGGGTGGGTGCAGCGATGAATGAGCACCTACCGGCAACGCAAAGGGCAATGACGAAGAAGAGCACGGAGCAGCAGCCACGTTGGAGACAGAAAGATAGGGTCAGGGCAAACGCAGCGGCCAGGACTGTAATGATGGCAATGGCTGTCCAAACGCCCAGAATGGAGGATGAGCGCGACGTCCAGCGGGAGCCCTTAGGGGGTTTGGATCATGGTTCGTACCGGCGGCGGCATCACGAGTGCGGCACCAGTTGCGGCCATTGTTGTCACGGGAGCGGGTCACGCCGAGGCGGCTGAGGTAGCTGGATTGGAGCGTTGCGTTATTGGAACCGCAAAAAGGATCTTGCTTGTAACCATTTTGGTCTTTGATGGCATCTACATGCCAAAGGGCCGGGCAATTGTCAGCAAGACCATGGCGGAGAAGAGAAGGCGGGGATGTTCTGAGGACTCGCGAGGGACCTCGAGGGCGCAGGGGCATCACGTACAGGTGTAAAGGGTAATGAGGCCGTTGGGATCGTCTTCGTAGGTCTGGAAGAAACCGCGGCCCACGATCCTACATATCGATAGCATGTGCCCGCGCACAGTGAGGGGGGCATGAAGCGGCATGCTTGCTGTCGGGCATGGGCGCACGGGGTCGTACACATGGTCGCCATTGTTTTTAATGTCGTGCTCGATCCAGGCAGGCGTGGCCACGCCCACAATGTAGAGGATGAGAGCCAGGAGCATGACAAAGTGGGCGGCGTCACCGACAAACGAGACATAGTCGTAGTCGGTGCGGGCAATCTTGCGATTGGGCATGTTGGCGAATAATCACAGCGGCGCTGAGCTGGTGTTCCAAGACAAACGCAGCTATGCTGGGGGAAGCAAACGACCTGGACCAGCCACCAACGAGTGAGATCAAGGCGACGGCAGCGGCGGACACGACAATTCCGGGCGGCACGAGCCAAAGCCTGGCATCCGTTTCCCTTGCCCACAAGGGTCATGACCCCCAATCCGGCCCAGGAACCAGCCTCAAGACAATCCCCGGAGCCAGCCAGCCAAGCAGCCAGCCAGCCGGGGCAGCAGCAAGGTCACCAACATCAACGTACCAATCAATAGCGAAATAACACAGGCTGACACAACATGTGTGTGAGTTCGAGAGAGAGAGAGAGAGAGAGCGAGAGAGTGTGAGAGTTTGAGAGAGAGAGAGAACGAGAGAGTGAGAGAGAGTGAGAGAGAGTGAGAGAGTGAGAGAGAAAAAGGGAGAGAGAGAGAGAAAGAGAGAGAGAAAAAGGGAGAGAGAGAGAGAAAAAGGGAGAGAGAGAGAGAGAGAGAGAGAGAGAGAGAGAGAGAGAGAGAGAGAGACAGAATTAATTGGTTTGAGAAAGAGAGAAATAAAGACAGAGATAGAGAGAGGGCAACACCAAAGTCATCCGACCCGCCCCCACGTTGTCAAAAAGGGAGGGAGTGAGAGAGAGAGAGATGAGCTGGAAATGGCTTCGATGGAATTTGATCTGACAAATGACTTTAGATCCACATTAAAGAGGTATTTTAACTTTAAAGCGTCTCCGCGGTGATTTTTCGACGCGCGCCTGCGGCAGTGCGGACCAGCATCGGCAGGATGGACTTTCTGGCCAAGCAGGCGATGAAGCAGCAGGCCAAGACTTTGAGCAAGGGTCTTTTTGATGAGGAGAAGGAGGATCCTAAGGCCAAGGAAAAGAAGAGCAAGGCTGAGCAGGCCGAAGCTCGTCATCGCGTTGGTTTTTCTCGTGCCACTGCTGCGTCACCTGGTTGTTTTCTTTTTCCGCCGTTCTGCTTCCCCGTTACGCTTGCTTCCGACCGTTCGCGGAGCCACCTCACGCGTGTGCGCGTTGCTCTGTGTGACCATTTATCAGGCAACACAGCAAAAGAGGCGAGAGGAGCAACAGCAGGTGCGGCGCGTGGCCCGCGAGGAGGAGCGAGACCGCATTCGCGCAAAGTACAACATTGACCGCAATGTCGGTCGCTCGGCGCATGCGGCCGCTGATGATGAGGAAAGCGATGCCGAGCAAGAACAGGCCGCAGCCCAACCGCCCCCAGCACATGGCAAAAAGGATGGGTGTTGCATTTGCTGATCCTTCTTCCAACTCGTCCTGCTCACATCTCTAGAAGTTGCTTCACCTTCTTTCTTTTTCATTTTGTTAGTTGTTGTTGTTGTTGGTGGTGGTGATTGCCCGAGGCATCCTGTTTGTACGCCTGCCATCATTCTCCCAGGTGGATGCTTGTTTACTGTTTGTCTAGACGCCTGGTTTCCAGTCAGCGTCGCTAATCACGTTTGATTCTCAATCCGAGCCATGTCGCTCGCTCGTTCGAGGCTTTGATCCCCCCCCCTCTCTGACCACAAACATGACCAGAAAAACAGGAAAAAAATAACAAAAAAATCAAGCGGGAAGGCAAAACAGCAACACAAAACAACTAGAAAGCGGGCAGGTCAAGCAGCCCGAAAAGGCTTCGTCAACTAGACAAACTCAACCCAGCCATTGTCTCGGACGAAGCGCTGGATATGCAGCCTGCATGGTACCCAGCGTGCGTGCCGGTGAGCTAGAGCCAAACGGCAGAGCAATCCCCATCAAGCATTGGCGCTTGACCAAGCATCTTGGTATCAGCTTTTGCTTTACCGGGTGTTTCCAAACTTACCGCCCGCTCGGAACAGCGTATCCGTTGCTGCTGCGCCACACCGCCACCAGTACCTCGTCAGGTCTAGCCAAGGCGCGCTGAAGCACCTCAAGTGCCTGCGAGAAGTTGAGATTGAGCAACGAAAGCCCATTGACCTGTGGCACCACACAGCCACGTGAGCGCAAAGACCGATAAACAGGCGTCCATCGTCCAGGCACCTTGCACTGGCTTACCTCTACAATGCGATCATGGGCCCGCAGGGCACAGCGCGGAGCTTGCGAGGCAGCTGGGCTCACGACCAGGCCCCCCTCGTAACTCTGCTGCACGCCAATGGCCAAATCGGCCAACGACCGCGCACTTGGAGGCAGCGATAACATGGCGGAGATGATCAGCGGATCTGGGTTGCGTCGAGTGCCTAGCCGACTAGCCTCATCCCCTCCCATGGCCACCAATGAGCGAAGCGAAATTGGGGAGAGGCCGGCACTCAGGCTCGAGTGTGTCAGCTGGGGCGCTGAATGGCGCTCCGTCACAAAGTTGTCAAAGGCCTGTAACATGTCAGCATAACGGCCGGCGCTGGCCTCAGTGTCCACTGAGCTTCGCGAAATGAGGGATGCCACCTCTGGCAGCTGCTCGTCAGTTGCAGTATCGTCCTGGAGTGCAGCTACCAAGAGGGTCGCCTCCTCTTGCGTGGCCTCTAGCAATGTATCCATGTCACAGACAGGAAACTCTCCAAAGCGCTGAAGCGGGCGGCGGTTCCGGTGGCGCGGTGCCTTTACTGCCCCGGCCCCATGGCGAGGCGTAGGCGTCGGCGTTTTGTTTGGCGACGAAGCAGCAGTAGCGTGTGCTTCACATCGAGGACCGGGAAGAGTGACAACGCTGCCCTGATCTGATTCTTGTGAGGTATCATGCTGCTCGAGGTGACGAGTTCCCGCTCTCAAAGCCCCCGTCGAAGGTGCACACTGCTCACGGTAGCGATTCTGTGCTGCCTCTAGACACGCGCGAACGGAGATATCAAGGATGGAGGTCGAGCTGATAAGCGAGCTATCTTCTACCTCACTCTCGTGGATCGTGCTCAGCGTCCGGTCTCCCGCCGGCGACAGATCTAGGGCAGCGCGGCCCAGTGCCGTCAACGAATCAAAGCTGCCCGAATCTTCCAGGCTGTGAAAAGACGCAGTGGCCTCCATGATGGCAATGGAAGGTAGATCTGCCGTTTCAGTCGCCGTTCGGATTGGGCTCTCGACGTTCGGCAGGCTCACTACCCGAGGCTTGGGTTCTGTCACTGCCTCGCATTCCACATTTTGGGGCTCGCCCACTGTGGTGGACACACTCTCACACGATGCTGCTGGCTGTGGGTCATCCTCAAGCACGGGGGGTGGCTGCGTCACCTGATCGATTGCATGTGGCGTGATTGGGCGCTCGGTACGTGGTAGGTCGGGCCGCTGGGGCACCCCTCGTACCGGAACCTTGGCCGGCACCGGGTTACCTCGCTGTATCGGGCTGGTGTGAAAAGGGACCATGAAGCGCAGGATATCAAGTTGCATGACATTGGCATCTTGAACAATTTCCTCAACAATGACGTGTTTCGCTTCTTTGGTCGACAAATGCTGAACATCCCGTCCATTGATCTGAGGTGAACAAGCGCGCGCGCGTGAGCCAAGGCGAGCGGCCTGAGCACGAGAGCACAGAACCGGCATTACTAGCGGGGGCGCTATGCTAGGGAATCCCAGCGTTTCCAAATAGCCTACAGACCTTGAGAAGGACATCACCGGGGCGAAGTAAGTGGGCTGAGGGGCTCGTCGGGCTGACATGCTGGACGACCAGACCCATGTCGTTGCTGTTGACGCTGCCCAGCTGCAAGCCAAGGCCCCGCTGTTCCATGTGCACGGTGATGTGAAAGGTTTGCAGATACTGAGCAAAGCTGCTAGCAAGCGTGTCGAGATGACTACGAGAGGCGTTCTCGGTATGGTCTGCAGAGGAGGTGAGCTTGCTGGCAGTCGGGGTAGATGGTTGCGGTGCCGACACAATGCGGCGGGGCAACGAGAGGTTGGGAAGAGAGGCGGATTTGACGACCCGCGCTGGGCGAGCCGGCTGCAACGTCCTGCCGTCTTCTTTGGGCATTGCTGGTGATGCCTCCACGTGAGCGGCGTGGGCGCGCCGCAAGCGGTTTCGGGCCGTGCTGGCGGCTCTGTCATCTGAACCACGGATACGCGAAGGGAGCAAGTCGGGTTCGGATCGAGTCTGTAAAAGTCTACCAGGGGGAGCAGCGCTTTGTTGCTGCCCCCGGCCGGCGGTAGATGACTGGGGACAAAGCGGACTAGGCTCTGCCGAATATATTACAACGGCATCTGTGCGCTCGGCGGGCGGAGAGCACTCTTCTGGTGTATTGGATTGAGCGCACAGAACGCGCCAGGTGGGGGCGGGTTGACGGCGGGCGGGGCTCGCCCTGCTGTTCGCGAGGGGCGTCATCATCTCAAGGCCAAAACTGTCCTCAAATGAGCCATGAAGTGGTTCATTGGGAGTGGTGCGCCCGGACAGGGTATTGGCGTGAGTACGATCGAGCTGCTTGACTTCCAGGCAAGCTGGGGTTGAGGTGGGAGTGGCTTCCAAGAAAACGGTGGCGCGTCGCGGGGCGCGAGGTGATGTGCGGCCGCCTTTGGGGCTTGCAACCTCCCGCGGGTCGCCGTTGATGGAGCTCAAGGGGCTCTTACTGGAGCTGCGGGCTGTTGATGTGGTCCCAACCCCACGGCCGGGGCCTGGGCTGCTCCATGCCATGCCCGGCATTCCCGCGTCATAGGCGCGGGGCATGGTCAATGAAATGGTTAGCTGCAGCGCTCAGAACGAGGGCGAGGGCCAAAGATTGCACGCGGAGAAGAAAGGAAGGGTATCCTTCCCCGGCCGAGATCCAGGGTCTGGCTGGCTCGGCTCAAGCTTTTTAAATGCCAAGGACAGTGCCAACGCCAACACCATCGCCACCACAGCCCAAAGCATTGGCCATGATTTTAAAATTTGGCGGGCAATCCATTCGCCCACCAGTTGTCAGCTTTTGGCAGCGCCGACGACCCGCTGCCGAGTCGTAGCTCGCCATCGTACCTCGTGTCTGCGTTATGGTTATATGCCGTTGCTTTTGAGCACATTATGAATTTCCAAGCTTGTCCGCTGTAGGTAAATAAGCTACACAAACTGTCTAAATAGCTGCATAAACTGGTCATAAATGGTAAAGGAGATTATAGCTAAATTCAAAGCAAATTCAGCAAAAAGATCTACTATACATTACATGAAATCTCGAAATTAAAATTCATTCTGCTTTTTTAAATGACAGTTTTGTTGTTGTTTCTCTCTCTCTCTGAATGTGTGTGTGTGTGTGTGTGTCTCTCTCTCTCTCTCTCTCTCTCTCTCTCAGTGTTGTTGGAAGTGCTTGGCGACTGGTTTGGGGCTGCGCGATCTGGATCTCAGCCGTCGTTGGTGGAGCGGGGTGGTGCTTCTGCGGAGACCAGGCTGGGTCGGGGGAGGGGCGGCCTTTGTGGCTGCAGGACTGGCAGGGGGAGGTTTCGCGCGCTGTATTTCTCTTTCTGTGCTGGTTTGCGGGTGGTTGCCAAGCAGAGGAGGCGGAGAACAAGATGACCCCCTGAGGCGGATCGTCGCTCAGCTTGGTCAACAAGGCATCGGTACCGGGGAATGAAAGGGCCCATTGCATTTGCTTGTTGCTGAACTGGCTTGGTGCTCCAACTGGGCAAGCGCGGTCACGAGGCAAGCACCGCAACGTGGTCTGGGGTGCGGACCCAGGCTGGCTCGATACCATGCCCCCCAGCTATGAACCCCTGAAGCTGGGCATCAAGCATCATCCACCAGCGTTAATCATGGACTACGTCTTGATAGAGCTTGGTACGTCGGGCGAACTTGACCCGCTAGCATCGGCCCAGGTCAACAATGGTCCCAGTCTCACTGCTGCTGGCTGCGCGCGCCACGCCAGGCTCTCGCCGCCGGCGCATCATGCCCATCCGCCGCCTCAACAAGCTTGGGTTAGTCCTTTGTGCTGGTCATTGTGAGGGATGTTGGCCTGGACTGTGCCTTGTGCGACCTCATCTGTCACTTTCCCGTGATGTGTATTCTTATTTTTTGTTTTTTGTTTTGGGGGTTTTAGGGCGCCTGACCTAGTGCAGGCACTGTATGAGCGACACGGCGAATACCTAGCCGGTGTTAATCGTCAACAGGTATCGGCTTGCTCTAGCACATTTGTGTGTGGCGATGCATCGGCCGCAGCTTCCCTGTAAATTGCGCGTACTTTTCTTGACCTCGGTGCCCTGGACCCACTCCCAGGTTGAGGAAATGGTGCTGCGCCTCAAGAGCACGGGACAAGCCAGTACAGACGCTGGATCAGCAGCGGCGGCGGCAGCAGCAGCGAGCGTGATCCCCACGCGCGATCTGAATCAGCTTGACGATGGGGTGCGTTCGTGCGTCGGGCGTGTCATGATGAGATCATGAGGTTCTGATGTCATGATGCCCTGGTGTCATGGTGTCATGGTGTCATGGTGTCATGGTGTCATGGTGTCATGGTGTCATTCATGGTGTCATGGTGTCATGGCGCTGGAACATGTGCAATTGGTGCAATCTCATCCTGCCATATTCGGTCGCAACGCGTGTGGGGCTTGGGCTCTGCGGTAGGAGCTTCAAAATGTCAAGGCTGCCATGGACGTGGTCTTTGAGCAAAACCGCGTTGATCCCAATGATTCAGATTTTGAGTACGACAAGCAGGTCGACTTCAAGCCCCAACTCGCCTCGGGCTGGGATTCAGAGTCCGAAGATGAGGATGGCATGTGGTAGCCAACCCTTGAAAGATTGGATCCTCGCCTGAGTGCGTGAGCGCGATCGGGTGTGAAGCACTTTCTTGTAGCATGCCCCCTGTGTATCCCGTTTCCTACTCGCTCGCTCCCGAAGCTGTACAAAGATGCATTCCAGCGAGCTGTCATGTGTAAACCTTAATCACCTTGCTCTCCCGGAAACGAGAAACACCCCAGCAAGGTCTCCCGCCGCATTCACGACTTTCGCGGCTCGTCTCCTTCATATCTATGTTGTTGAGCGATAAAGCAGTCAAGCTTTAGAGTCCTGGTCCTTCAAAGTCCAAAAGAGAAAAACCACCAAAAACAAAAAGAACAGAGATCACAACACATGTTGTGAACAGTTTATCTAGCACAGCAGGGTCGAGGTGAGCAGCACATGGACGAGACGGCCTTCAGAGCGCCCAATGGGGGAGGGTTGTGTTATGGCGGTGCTTGGCTGGCGGGTTGTCTGTTGTGTGGTGGCGGTGGCGGTGGGTGTGGGTGTGGGTGTGGGTGTGGTTGGTGTAGTGAAAAGTGTTGTTGATGGCGTGCGCTGCCATGGTCATGTGCCACTCTGTTTGCGTGCTACAAGCTGGGGAAGCGCCAGCTGACGGCACGACGAGCTTCGCCTGCTTGGGGGAAGACTCGCTTCAAAGCTCATCTGGTTCGCGGTGGGGTGCTAATGCAGGGCACTGGAAAGATGAACCGTTTGGCCATCTCGATTCGCCCAGTGGCGGCCCTCAGTAGCGCCGTCTTGGCTTCTGCCGGCCGCTCAGCTCCTCGGACCGCTCGGCAACAGGTGAGCCGCATTTGCTTTGGCACGCCAAGAGGAGCAGTTGCAACAGAGGCATTGTTTCAACAGAGAGGAGGCGCGGTCGGAACCAGAGTGTTATGGCTTGTTTCAAGTCGCCACTTCTCACAGTATCCGAGTACCCTATTCCTTTCAGGTGCGGCACAAGGGCAAGGTGACCACGGTCAAGGACCATTTTCGCAAGCTTCGCGCGCCCAAGCGCCATCATGGTGAAGCCCTGAGCAGCCGTGATAAATTTATCTACCACCTCGGCACCTCGGCCAATGGTCGTGTTGGCCCCGCGGTTGTTGCCGTGGACTCGCACGGTACGCATAGCAGCTCCTTTGTGGTTTTTTTTTGGGGGCCTTTAGGGCTTTTCACTTGTTTATGCTCCTTTGGGTCGTTCTCTTGGTTCCTTGTGACGACTGCTTGTTCCCCCAAGCTTGACTTGATTCATCTCCGGTGTTTATCCTTCTCTTTCTGGTTCCTGCTCTCATCATGCGCATGCCTCCTCCATGATTCGGCTGCTGTTCAGGACCCCACGTTGTGGGCCCCCCAGAGGCCGAGGGTTCCTTCAACAAGCAGTATATTTACATGGATGACGAGCAAGTCGATGAATATTTGGCTGACGTGCGCCGGGCGTTTGAGTTTCCCGTCCATGAAGAGGATGTTGCGCTCGCCCCAGAGGCTCAAGTCTTGGGTCAGGATCCCGAGGCCGGAAACAACCGCTTTCGCTTTGTCTTTGTTGATACCAGCAAGGGCCCGTCGAATACGGTCCGTCAGACCGCCATCTCATTCTCTTGGGGCTTGGCCGTTCATTTCATCCCGCCTGGGCTTGCTCACTCTGACCCGCGCTCGCCTTTTATGCAAATTCTATCGGATAGGAGCGAGAGATTCGCATTCGAGAGACAGATGGCACTCTTCGCACAGCCAACTCAGAGGAGCGTGACCAATACCTGACGGTCCGTCTTCGTTCCATTGGTCTTTGCTCCCCTTTGCAAGATACCCTGGTTCATCTTGAATAGCCCGAGCTCACTCACGACTCGGGCTTGTGCACTCACATCTGTGCAGGAGTTTGTGGCGGGTCACAAAAAGTCGGTCCGTGCCCCGCCCATGTGCCGCGAGCCAGCTCTCACCCGCCTGATCGGCGAGAACCAGCATCGTCACCTCCTTGATGCCGTGACAGCCACGCAGTACCCCTATCAAAAAGACTACCGCGAGGTCTGTCCTTTTCATCTTCTCAAAATTTCCCTCTTGCGTTGCTTTTGCTCATTGGTGAGCAACTCACGCCTTGTGGTGTCCGACCACGTGCAGGTTCATGCCCGTGTTTACGAGGATGTCGAGACGCGCAAGTTGTATAGCCTGATGCAGGACACGGTGCATTGGCCTTCCTTCTTGCTGTGGCTTGTTGACACGGAGCAGGTACACGGCCTGATTGCTCTTCGCTCACACGTTAAGCGCGTCTGGCACACATGTTGTTCATAACCAGCTGGCCCTGCATGCCACCATCTCACATCTTTGTGTGTTGTAGACCGATGGTCTCTTGACCATGCTGCTCAGCGCAGAGCGGTAGGCGCTTTTGCTTTCTTGTTGTCGTACCCGCGTCGCTTGGCGGGGGGTTACACTTTGTACCGACCCCATGTCTTCTCATCCCTGCCCACTCCTGTTTTCTGGCTCCCCGCCTTCTCTCTTTTCGCGACCAATGGTGGTTTGGCATGGTTACATCGTAACATCATTGAATTTTTGCCAGCCTGGAGGATGCCGTCAAGCTCTCCATTCTCCAAACCACGGGTTCTGTGCCAGAGACTTTGACCCAGCAGCACATGGACAGCTTCAAGGTCAGTACGGCAGTGTACCGTGCCTGCAGCAGCCGTTGCGCGTTGCACACAGAGCTGATATTGCCACGCTCACGCAATCGACGCTGTCCTACAGGCATTCGTGGATGGACGTGTGTCAGAGTTCAACAAGACGCACGCTGCGCGACTCTTGAGCGCCGCTGCCAGTCTTAAGAACGCGTCGGCCGCACCTGCTGCCCCACAGGCATAATACTTCCATGCTCACATCTTCTTTTCACGCCACCACCCATGGCTCTTCTCACGCGCCGAGGAAAGCCATTTGTTTTTGAAAAGAATTTTGAGACGTTCCACATGACATGGCGTCGAGTTAGACCCTTGCTGTCCACTTGCAGACGCAACCTCCAAGAAAAGTTTAAAAAATCAACATCTACCAGATGACCATCACATCCAATTCTTTTCACCCTCACCCACGATCGTCAATTGCTTCTCTCCCCCGCCTCCCCGCGCAGTTATCATGCGTGCTGCCTACCACAGCACGACATCCAGAAAGAAAGAAAGAGAGAGAGAGAGAGAGGAGAGAGAGAGAGAGAGAGAGAGAGAGAGAGAGAGAGAGAGAGAAAGTTGACCGTTACATGAACATGAGATGTGTGATTTTTTTGATTTTTCTTGTGGTGGTGGTGTCGTGATATCCCGCGGCTCCGTTTGGAAGCGGCACCGCTGCTGTGTGGGGGCAGCGAAGCAGACGTGTCGGAGAAAGGCTGAGACCTCGGGTGAAACCATGGCCATGCTTGGATGAGCTCCAAGGAGTCGACCAATTGTGTGTATTGAGGGGTGAACCGCGGGCGGGTAAAGCCCATGAAAGCGCGTCGAAATGGCGGACACGTTGTTTGCGGCCAAGACGGGCGCGCTCGACTGGGCGCGCCTCCGTGAGCTAGATCCAGATCGAATCATTGAAACCCAATCAGACGCCGACGCGGACCGTCTCGAAGCCCTCTATGACATGCTCGTGCGAGTAGGTCCTTGTCGTCTGCTCAAAGACGCGCTGCACAGCCAGTCCGCACTGCACCAGACGCGAGTTAGCCTCCTGATCGCCAGCTCATGACTTGTTGATCAACAAACTGCAACCCTCTCTCAACAGGCAGATGCCTCTGGGCTCGAACGCAAGCGCCTCTTGCATGCCTTCCGCGTGCTGCAGCTCACGCTTGAAGTCAAGGGTGATGTGCGTGTCCAGCCTCAGTGCCGGGGCTGCACACCAACTGCAGCTCATGATCGTGTTGCGTTGGCGACACCGTCTCGTTTCGTTAGGAATGCCGCGAGCTAAATGATGAGCTTCAGCAAGCACTACAGCGGCCCGATGGCCCCGGCGGTGTGTGTTCGTTCGCTTGCACTTGTCCCTGAGCTCAAAATAAAACCTTGTTCATGCCCAGTTGTGGTGGTGCCCAGGCTCGCGGGCACGTCCGCTGGGGGGCGGCATTCTGGAGAGTCAGACCCGAGAGACGACGCGTCAGCTCGAGCATGCTCAGCGAGAACTCGAATATTTCAAGGAACAAGTGCGCTCTTTAGAGCGAGATTATGAAGCTGCGCGTCAAGCCTCTGATCGAGCGGAGATGGAGACTGAAGCACTTCGTCAAGGTCAGCTCGCTCCCAATCGTTGTTTGTCGTTTCATGCGATTGATCTGCTTTGGTCGTGAGCTTGCTAATTTGCCGCGGGTCGCGTGTTCTTGGCCATCAATCGGCCGGACTACACTTAGACAACACACGGCTCGATGAGCACGTGAGCAAGCTTCAGAGCGAATTGGCCAAGGAGGTTCGGACTAGAGCAGCACGCCTTGCCTCGCTGCTGATTCTTGTGGTAGCTAGCTCCTGTCCTTACCTTGCTATTTTGCCATCACTTCCGACCTGGCATGCAGCGAGCTCACTTGCAGTCGCGGGACTATCGGGATGACGAGCTGCACGATACACTTGCGGACCGTGACCGACAACTGGCCATGCTGCGTGATAGGCTCACTGAAGCAGAAACCTTGAACCATGGCCTCAATCAACAGGTCACTTTGTCTTGAACCCGAGAGCGATCCCGCGATGGCGACGGGCGTTGCTTGCACACCTGTCGCGCTCCCGCTCGTCTCACTACCCGCACCTTCTGGATGTATTAGATCACCGAACTGCACACGCGCCTTGATGAGTCGACCAAGGTTGTCATCGACTTTGGTGTTTGCTGGCCCATGGCACAGCCGCTGATGTAAAGCATTGGCAGTTCACACGCCGGCCTGGCTTCACTCTCGGTTTTGTCCTTCTCTTTTCTGATTTAGAACATGGACGTGGCATCCAGTAAAATCACAGAGCTGCACCAAGCGGTGGGCCAGTCACAGGCTGAGCGAGAAGAATTGGCAGCACGCATTGTCGATTTGGAGCAGCAGCTGGAGCGCGCCGAAACTCAAGTCGTTGAAGCCACTCGCGCAGACGATGCCATCATGACGTCGGTGCAGGAGACGGTGGGCGAAGTATGTCGTTGAAAGTTTGCTCAAGCGCCACCCATCACTCAACTGCTTCGCACATGTTTGGATTCTCATGGCTCACTTGGTTGATAAATATGCAGTGGAAACGACGCATGGCTGAGAAGGAGGCCGAGCTTGCAGCGACCCGCGACGTGAGTTGGCGCAGTTTGTTTTGAGCCGCACGCAGGCTTTGCTCCAGGCAATGCGGCACCCTGTGCCTGCAAGAATACAGAGTACCCGCACTTACTTTTGCGCTATTGTCAGGTGATTGCTTCACTACGCCAAGAGCTGGAGAGCCATGGTATCATGGCTCGGACGCAGCTTATGGAAAACATCAATCGTGAACAAGAGCTTCGTGATCTACAGCGTCAGCTCGGGGCCACCACGGCAGCCCTTGAGCAGGCCAAGCAGGACGGAACTCAAGACGGGCAGCTGCCTGGTGGTCGGCGACAAGAAGATGCGCAGCTTCAGGCCATTGAGAATGAGCTTGAGGATGCACAACGGTGAGTGATTTAAGAGACGTGTCGCAAGCGGCATCCGAGAACAAAACTCATTCAAGCTCGCGTCTGCATTCGACAGCGAAATTACTCGTTTGCGGAATGAGGTGGTACGCTACGAGCACGGCCTAAATGCTGGTGATCTTCTTGAGGAGCTCAAGGTACGTTAGGACCGCATCGGCGTCACCTATCCCAGCCCGTTGTGAGCAGTCAATCTGTTTTTGCTCTGCTGGGTGTTTGCGACGGCTGGCAGCATTCGCGCCGCCAACTGCACCGCAAAGACGAAGACATCCAGCGGCTGGTCAAGGACATCAACACGGCCAATCGTGAGCTCGGTACGTAGGCATCAATGAACGCCCGCTACGCGTCCACGCCTTCCAATGGGTCGCAAGTCTCCTCGCACCGTTGCCTCATAACGTATGCTATGTCCGTGTATAGATACGGTGCTCGATGAGAATCTTCTATTGCGGGATGCCCTGGGGCCAGAGGCCACGCCGCCCACGGCTGGCCAAGTCGCTGCTATTCATGACAGGCGCGACCAGGATTTGAATAACCTGCGGCAAACCAATGCCCATCTAACCAAGGAGGTTGATCGACTCGAGAGTGAAAAAGCAGTCCTTCGTGAGCGGGTCGTCAAGCTCAGCCTCCGCGAAAATGGGAGCGGTGCAGGCAGCGCTGCTGGCCCTGATGAAGGCATGCTCGAGATTGAAAACTTGGCGGGCCAGGTGCGCAATGCCCTGGCGTCGGCTGCTGCCGCCAAGCGTCGCGCTGAGGCCGCCGAAGCAGAATTGCTCGACTGCCATCGGAGTCAGCAAGTGGTCCATGCTGACCTACAACGAAGCCAAGCTGAGACCCTTCGTTTGCGAAATGAGGCAAGCCACTTGAGAAGTGCCTTGCAACAAGTATCGCAGTCGCTACATGACACTCAATTGGCCATCCAAGCCGATGGCTCGCTTCGCGAAGTACGCGTGAATTGTGATGAAGTGACACGTCTCCTGAACTTTTATCGCAACCCCAACTCGGGCATGTCCGCCGCAACGGGCCCCGGCAGTTCTTCAGTCACTGTCGACCAGTCGCCACAGGTTGGAGAGACAGCCCCGGTGGCGGTGACGCACGAAGCTGTCCTTCAGTTCCAGTCAGATATCATGCGCTTGCGTGGTGCCAACGTGGAACTCAAGGCTGCACTTCAAGACTTGCAAAAACGGCACGACACCGCCGTCCGCCACGAATCCCAGCTGGAACAGCAATTACAAGCCAAGGTACCTGAAACCCACCCCATGGGCTGAGAGCATGCCGCGTATGGTGCCTATAGCCCGTTGAGCCGTTTCGAATTGCTTACACTTTCGAATCGCTTACACTCGCGGTGCCTCTAGGATATCGAGCTTCAACGTTTGCAGGGAATCAATGAAGCGCTGCAGAGTGACTCTTTCCTGGATCTGCCAAAGGGCATGAGTCCCACCTCCAAGCAGATCATCGCAACGTTGAATGAGCAAAACATGGTTCTGCTGCAGCAAGTCGAGGAGCGGACCCAAGAGCAGATGCAGCTCACCGAGGCCTTGCAAGAGGCGCGCCGCGACCTGAGCGTTTTCGCCCAGCAGCAGGTCTGATACTCGGCTTGTGGATTGTTGGGCAGTGTGGTAGAGATGTGAGTCAGCTGTGTTCAAGGATACAGAGACACTGCAGCTCACTTGTTTCGTGACCTGTCATAGCAATTGCTGTACGATGCCCACTCTGATAAACAGGCCGAGTGGCGGTCTTTGCTTGAAACGCAAGCTGAGGAGTTGCAACAAGCCCGGCAAGCAGCCGAGGCTGGCCAGCAGTGGCAGGCACAGTTTGCTCAGCTTAATGCAAGCCTGCAAGGTTTGTCAAGCTTCTTTTGTATTTTTGCTCAAGTGTAACAGCCACCCGAGACACCGCCGGGCCAACACCTGATCCCGGTGGCTGCAGACACCTTGCGTGGCGTGCTTGCTCTGCCTCCTCATTTGGATCACGACGCTTCATGTGGCTGTTTTCTCTCGTATCCTGGATGCAGGGAAGGACCAGGATGCAGCCGCTGAGCTGGCACGCTTGGGGTCTCTCGTGGCCAAGCTACGAATTAACGAAGGGGATCTCAAGCGTCGCTACACCCAACAGCTGGAAGTGGTCAAAGAAACGGAGAAGCGTCTGGATCGCCTCCAGCTAGAGCAACAACAGTCCCAATACCATGCAAGCGAACGCATCTCTTTCCTTGAGCGGGCTTTGTCTGCGGCGGAGTCACGCCTGCAGCTGCAACAGCGTCATCTGGAAGAGAGCGTTGCCGCGGGAGAACATCAACGCGTCGTTGAGCGAGCTGAGGTGCTGGCGACGCGTTATCGCATCCTTCTGGAGGAGCATCGTCAATTGCAAGAAGTCCAAGTGCATCAAGCCGGCCAGGCCCTGGAGGCTGGTGAGCAACGCCACCGTGCTAGCCTGTTTGAGCGTGAGGCTGAGCTCCTACGCCGGGACTTGGAGGCTGCGAATAGCAACTTGGAGCGCGGTGAGCGCACTGATGCCAAGACACAACTGCTCTTGCGTGTGCGGGCGGATAATGAGAGCCGTCGCGCCGAGCTCGCTGAGCAGCAGCTGAGTCAGGTAAATTCGATGTTGCAAAGCGTGCGACAGGCAGAGTCAGAGGCCCAGGCACGGCTGCGCGCACTTCAGGAAGAGCTGCTGGAGGCCCGCAGTGCAGAAGCCGAGCTGCGAGAGCGCGTGGCAGCCTCAGTACCACCAGAGCGGCTTGCGCAGGAGCAACGCGAACTGGATGATGCTCGTGAACGATTGCAGTTGCAACAGGATGAACTGCTGCAGGTTCAGCACGAGCGAAGCATGGCTGTTGAGCAAGCCAGCGCCTTGAATCGGCTCTTACAGGTTTTGCAGCTCGAAAGCAAAAGCGTCAAGCAACAGCTGATTGAACTGCAAACAGTGGATGACGAAAAACTTGCGATGGGACGAATGCATCGCCGACTCCTTGCTGTGCAGGTCCGTGCGCTCATCTCGTTGAAGCGTGGTCGTTGGACCGGGAGATAATTTGCTTCGAGATGCTAATTTTTTTTGTGTTTCAATGGCACGCGTGAACCTAATTTCTCCTGACAGATGCGCGAGGCAGATGGGCTTCGCATGCTGGAGGTCGAGCGCCGACGGTGCAAAGAGCTACGTCGTGACCTTGCCGCTCGAGATCAAGCCATGCATCAGCTCAAATTGGCTCAGTTCGACAAGAGCAATGGTCAGATCTATACTTCTCAAGGAACAAAATTTGGTGGCTCAAGCACAAGAACAGGGATAGGGCAGCCATGTCTGTGAGCCTCACTCAGTCCTTTGTCCTCCCCCACCCTGGTGTACACCGCAGATGCCCGCATGCGGATGCGGGAGCTGCGCAACCGGCTGTCAGCGCTGCGTACGCAATATTTAGGCGCTGCGCCACTTGAGACGCAAGAAAAGCTTGCAGCGGTACGTCTCAAGCGTCAACGGCGGGTTTCTGGGTGACATGCCTTTGGTGCTTGCTCAACACACATTTTTGCTCCCGTAGAGTTTGAAGCAAGTTGCGGAAATGCGGCGCGAGGCACGCACAGAGTTGATGGCAGCAAAGGATCGCCACGACGAGGCGGCCTTGGAGCTGCAAAAACTTGGGCAACAGCATCTTCAGCTGAAGGTGGGTTTTAAGAGTCAGCAAGCACGGCCGAGCCTTCATGGAAGGCCTGAGCACGCGAGACCTGACCTTGCATGGGCTCTTTGAATGGCGCTCTTTGACTGATCGATCTAGGAGCTGATGAGTGCGACGAGTCAAAATCGTCTGACGGAGCAAGTCACAGAGTGGCATCATAAAGCGGGGCAACTCAAGCTTCAGGTTGGACAAGATGCCCATGCTTCCGCTTCGACTTCAGCCATCATGACATTGTGATGAAGCAAGCCCAGAAGCCAGATCCAAAGGGGGGAAGCAATGCCCTCACTGCCCTCGCCCCATCTGTTTGCTTAGTTACTAGAGGCTGGTCGTTCACGCAAACGATTGGAGAATGAGCTGAGGCTCTTGCAAGATGATCATGGTGAGGCGATGGGCATATCCGTACCAAGACGGTTGCCTCTGCCCAACTACTTCTCACTCATTGTTGAGCACATTCTTAGTCGAGCTCGTGGGAGAGCACCGCAAGCTACAAAATGATGCCGTCTCAATGGCCAAGCGGTTTGAAGAGCGTGAGGTTCGTGTCATTGAAAATCGCAGCCCGTTTGGTCTTGAATGGGCGTGCCTGAAATCGTGGGTTGTAACATTGTATACGACTCATTACCCAGATGGCTTGGGAGCGGCGCGAGGCGCAATTAGAGAGGTGCGTAGAACGACGCCCCCCCCCCCTCAAGTGAGGAAGTTTTCACTCATCGAGGCTACGCCATCCTCATTCGTGAATGCAGGCGACGACTTGTCCTTGCCCGAGCAGCTGCAATGGTGCTTTGAGCGGTTGGATGGACTCTCTGCCGAGCTCAGTACGGCGCATGACGATGCCCGCAAGCTGCAGGAGAAGACGACGGTTCGTGACCATGCTGTTTCCGCTGCTCCATTGTCACATTACAGCAGGTGCTCACCTTTTGGCCGGTTCTGTTTGGTGCGGATGAGACAGGCTGCTGAAATCCAGTGTAAGCTGAATGAGGCTCAGCTACACAAAACCGAGGCTCGCCTGGCAGAGCTTGGAGCGCAGCTGCCGAATCGGGTGGATGATCGTGTTGGCCATAGTGCGGATGCCGAGGCTACGGTGGAAGAGCTGATAGACCTTCGTCATCGCTACAACCACGTTATGCATGTTTCTCAACAGGTTAGCTCGGGACGGTTCATGTGGCCCATTGAATGCTGATTCCTTTCTCTCAGCCAAGTTTGTTTTTGATTGGATGGTGACACTTAGACGATCGAGAGCTTGAAGTCATTGTTAGCTCAGAAGGATGCTGAGCTTGATGCCGTGCGCAGTGAGCTTGTTACCTCACGCCGCAAGAACCATGAAGGTGTGCGCCATGTTTCGTGGTGCTCGGTGGCGCTGAAACCCTGTAGCATTGCTCACTGCACTTGCCATACCTAGCGACCACCGCTTTGCAGGCCGAGCTGCAGACAACAAAGCTCCGCCTCGACGATGAACGGGTATGCCTGTTAACTAGACAATCGACTCATCCGTCTATGGAAGCGCGCAAGTTGCTTGCCGCCATGCAGGGGCTAAAGTCGACTGATCTTGGTGTGTGATTCCTGTGTCGCATGGACTGTTCGATCATCAAAGCGACAAGCTCGCTTAGCCGAGGCACGGGCCGAAGTTGCTCAAGCCCAGGGGGCTGAACTGCCGGGTAAACGGCAAGACGTGCTCGTACAGCTCCAGATTGAGCTTCGTCAAGCACAGGAGCAACTGCTTCAGGCCCGGCAGCTGGCCCAAATCCGCCTTCAAGAGGGAGAGCACGAGCGAACACGACACGAACAGCAATTGGTGGGTCTCAGCTGCTGTTGAAGAATGGGAAGGGTGCCCCACTGCCTGACGATTTTGTTTTTGGGGTTGATGTCGGGATTTTTTTACACTCCAGACCGAACTCAACCAAAAGCTGGCCGAGCGTACACGAGAGTGCGAGACAACCAAGACGGCCCAAGTTAATCTGGAATCAGAGCTCAGTCAGTCGCGACGTACGATTGAAGAGGTCAGTTTTCTTGCTCACAGCTGGGTGCTTGCTCTTCCCTGCTGTTTTTTTCATCGCGACCTGTCTGCTCCTGCAGCTCGAGGATCGACGAGAACAACTCGAAGCAACCACTCGCGCCACTGTCAAGCAGTTTCAGGCAGAGGCGCAAGCGGCGCAAGACGAGTTGGCTCAGACCAAGGTGCGCGTGAGTCCGCAATATCTGGAAAAAGCCTTGCGCGTTGAGGAGTATCAAGCTCGCATCTCCACCCAGCAGCGCCGCATCGTCGAGGTTCGTTCTGAGCCGGGTCGCCTAAATGCTCGGATTCATCGATGAACTTAATTTGCTAACGGCTCTTTTGCGATGGTCCTTGTCCCTCTTGCGGTGCAGCTTGAAACCTTGGTGGTGGAGCTGCAACGCAATATGGGGGCCAGCGCAAGCCTCGGTGCGTTTTGATTGCCGGATTTGAGCGCGCTTTACTTGGGTTCACTCAAACATTTTCAAACATGATGCATTTGACACGGTGCACCGTTCACGTGACTTAGAGCAACAATCGCAAGACTTGTCGACATCGATTGAGCGCCGTTCGACTCAACTGCAAGCCCAGACCGCTCAGTTGGAGTCCAAGCTCGCGGCAGCCACTGCACAAGCAGACGGCCTGCAGCACGACTTGGCAAAAGCCCGCCAAGAGACTGAGGTTGGTTGGCGCATGCTCAGCATCAACGGAAAAGCAAGTAAAATTTCAAAATATTTCTTGTTTTGAATGACTTAAACCTTGTTTAGGAAAAAGGGCGTCAGCTCGCCGAGGCCGAGAGACAGTTACAAGCGGAGCGAGCGTTGGTCGCCAAATCAGAACGGGATGCAGCGCGGGCCAAGAAGGAAGCGCATCAAATGGAGCGCCTCCGCAAGGTACTCTATGTTACTCAACTGACCTTGGGCCGGGTCACAGCCTCAAATCTCAATTTAAATTTTTGTAAATCAGGCGGCAGGAGATGAAGCAAGTCATTTGCGCACGGAGCTTGGCAAGATACAAGCTCAACTCAACACTGTCCGTGCAACTCAAGGTGCATCATGTTCCCTGGCCATTCTTGCTTTACCTCCGATCGCAGCCTCAACGTAACACATCAGCATTCATCGACCACACGTGTGCCTTTGACATCGATAGCTTCGCGACGTGCGACTGGCGAAACGCAAGGCATATCTAGCTCTGACGCCAATGCCGAGGCGGTTCGTGATTACTGCTGTGGTCCACTCCACGCCCTTTTAAAGCTTGGTCTGCATTGCTTTCACGAGCTCTATGATCTGGCTCATGCTTCGACTCTGGCAGAATGTTGGCAAGTGGGAAGCAGACAAGAAATTGCAGCAGCGGTATGCCAGCGCACACACGTAGCAATGGGACCTTGCTGCCGAGGTTGAGCGGAATGACTGTGTCTTCCTCGATCTCCCGACCCTGTTTCTCATCTGCTGTATGTTTCGTGCTTTACTGTGAACAGTGTGGATAATTTGCGGAGCAAACTGGAACAAAAGAACAAAGAGCTCGAAGCCATACAGGCACAGGTACGTTTGTGCAGGGAGTCTTTTTACTATGTCGCGCTGGTACCTACGCCGTTTTGCTTATTGCATGGCCTGTGATCTAGAATGATGGGATGCGTGCGACCATCGATCGCTTCCAAAAGGAGCGGCACCAGTTGCAAAAGCGGGCCAAAGCTGCCGAAAAAGCCAATGGTAGGTGATGATTGTTCCCAAAGGAGAAGAGGTTGTGAACGGCGACGTGTGGCTGTCCTAGCATGCGTGGCCTTGGTCTGACGGTGTATACTGGCCCTGGGTGTGACGAAGGTGTTTTGCAAGAGCGGGTCGAGCGGTTGATTGGCGAGACGGTTTCTCGTCAGGAGCACCGCGAGGCCATTGTTGCGTTGCAAAACGAAGCAGACCATGAGCGGCAAGAGGCGAGTCGACGGTTGCGGAAGGTGCAAGAGGAGGCGGACGAGCTACGGACACATCTTTCTATGGCAGAGAATGCTCGCTACGGCGAAGACGATGAACTGTCTATTAAAGCGCAGTTGTTGGATGCCCGAATGCAGCTCGAGCAGTACCAAACGGATGCTAAACGTCATGCCCAACAGGTCAAGCAGCTACAGCAAGAGCTTGCCGAACAGCAGCAAAAGCAGCACGAGGTGTGTATGCGTGCGTGCGGGTGGCGTGGCGTGGCTTAGCATGCCGCTTTCACATTTGGACGTGATAGCTCACCCAGGGCTGTGGCCTTGTCAATTCTGCCCCCCCCCCCCCCCTCCCGGGTTTTTTCCTTTCATGTTTTGGTTTTTGATGCGCACAGCTTTCGGGGCTAGAAAAGCTTGAAGAAGAACGATCAGCCGCACTGCTAAAGCAGCTGCGCGAAGAGCACCGAAAGGTACGAGACGGGGCGTGAAGCTACGCTTTAATATTGCCGTTCAACAATTTTTCTGACGGGTCGAACTTGCGCTAGCTGCAACGAGCGCATGAGGCCTCGAGCAAAGAGCTGAATGAGCTCCAGACTGTTAATCAACAGCTTCAGGCTGAGCTGCTCGGAGGACCCCCCACGCGCCTGGTCAAGGTTTACGAAGAGCAGCTGGAAGGACTGCAGACTCAGTTGCAGCAAAAAGATGAAGCCATTGCCAAGGTGTGTATGCAGTCGGCGGAAGCGATGAGAGCTCCAAACAAAGGAACCGCAAGTATGTCATTAGGTTTTGGCGGTCAATGTGCCTTCAATCCACGCCTGGGTGTTGTGGTTGCTTCCTGACTTTGTAGGCACGTGACACGATTCTGGAGTTACAGTCACGCGAGCAGCACGCACTTGAAGCGTATGTGCACGGATCGTGATCACGCTTCTGAACATGCTACTTGAACAGTTGTTGCTGCCCATGTCTGATCGTGTGTGTGTGTGTGTGTGTGTGTGTGTGTGTGTGCACGCTCAATGGGGCGTAGGATGACCGCGGCTCGCGAGGAAAAGTCTTTGGCGCAGAGCGTCGAGGTTGAGCGGTTGGCACGCCAACATAGTGAGCGGGTGAAGGCCCTACAAAAGACTATTCGCCAGGTACGTGCGTCATGAGTTGGTTGCAAGCCGCCCCGGATAGTCGTTTCTTGTCGGTGTTGGATGGCGCATAAATGTTCTTTGATGGGGATGTGCTTCCATGACTCGTCAGCTGAATCGCGAGAATGAGCGGCTACAAGTGGATTTGGCTGCTTTTGATCCTGCCTTTTTTCAAGAAATCGAAGACATGAAGGTTGGCTGGACATGTTCTGATGCAAGCAGAAGGGTTGATGTTTCCCTCCGACCCTCATCACAATGTCGCCTTGGTGTGCTTCCTTTAGCAAGAGCTTGAGCAGAACAAACGACGGGTCAAGTTACTCGAGCGCCAACTGGCAGCGCAAAATACCGCTGCGCGGTCTTGATGGTCTCAAGCCATTTGAGTGAGAATTGTTGGAGTTGACACATGCAAAATGGTAATTTATGAGGCAGAGTGTGTTTATAAGCACGATAATCTAAAACGATTGGACGTAAAAGGCATCGAGTCATGCAATTGTGGCGGTAAGCCGTAGTAGCCGTTTACACAGGAGCAAGGGGAGAACAGCATGGAAAGAGGAATAAGGAACGAAAAAAGGCAATAAGGGAGGTAGAAAGAAAATCAAAAGCAAAGGCCGCGCGCTTGCAAGCCAGTCTCAAGTGAGCGTGATCATTTGGATACAAGAAACAGTCAGGAGGGCGGCAAGGTTGCGGAGGCAAAATAAAAAAGTGCTTAAAAGGCCTCCGGACGAGTGGCAATGTGGCGCTCAATGCGAGCGCGGTAGGCCACCTTGTCGTGGAACTCCTTCAGCTTGGGGAAGGCACGGATAGCCTTGAGGCCATGCACGTTGATGACGGCGTTGACGGCCTCGAACAGAGCAATGTCGGCAAAGGTCAAGTGCTGCGGCAATTCACAATGGGGTCAGGCGGATGACGGAAACACCCATGAGCGACAACCATCTGGGTAATGAGCCTTGCCGAATGCAGCAAAAACCACACACAAAAAAGAAAGAAAGAAAGGAAAAAAAAAAGCCGTATGTACCTTGCCGTAAAGGAACTCATCGGTCTTGACATCGCCGTCGTCGTTGCGCTCCAGAATGGACTGGAAGTACTCGAACCACCGCTCGATGGATTCGGGGGCCGTGGGCGGGGCGCTGGTCTTGCCCTTGTAGGTCTGCACTTCGTTCTGGAAGTCCTTGACCTGTGTGGGCGGATCATAAGCATCGCGTGCAGGAATGCGGTGTGAGCGGCGTGTGGCTGCAGAAAGTGAGGACAGGACCAAAATGAACCGAAGGTCAAAGGGATCAAGGTCAGGTCGCACCATGCAAGCGAGGCCACGAATGACGGGGCGCTCCTGGGGTTCACCGCAGTACTTGTTGCCGCCCTGTCCGAGCTTCTTCTGGTCGGCAACATCGGCAAGGTGCTCCAAGATGGCATCACTAGAAGATGGTGTTGTGTTTTAGTGTAGAAGGTTAGTTTGGTCAAGATTGCCGTTGTGCGGCTGTATGTGACTGGGTCAATGATTGCGCGGCAATCTTCACTTACGCGTGCTCAATCTTGACACCGTCCATCTCAAGCACAGGCAGGTTAGGGAAGTTGATCTTGCCCGACTTGGCCCATGACTTGGCAGTTTCCATGTCAATGGCCACCTCCTCGTATTTCTAAGAAAAAAGAAAAGAAAAATGGTTTGCCAGCGAGGTTAATGTGGGCGGAGATGCCATGTTGATTGAGGCAGATCCAATCAAGGTTGTGCGTGGTGGAGGTGGGCGGGTGCTGAGAACGGGGGCAAAGAAGACACAAACCATGCCAGTCTCCTGGAGCAGCATACGGATCTTCTCAGTGAAGCCGCGGGTGTTTTCCTGGACGTAGAGGACGATCGACATGATGACGGTGTTTTTGAGCTTGAAAGAAAGAAGAGGACCCTACGGAAACGCGCGTTCGGGAGGCATTGAGCGATGCATTTCAGTTCGGAGCCCGAGCCAAGGGGGCGGGGTGCTTGAAGGAGAAGGCAGTGGCTTCTGCAGTGCGTCAACAATATCGCAGCAGAAACAGTAGCAGGGTTGTGGTCCCAAGTATGAAGATGGTACAAACACCGGACTAGGTGGTTCGTGATCGAAGAGGCGCGCCCCTCATCCGCTGCCAAAAAGGGTGTACAAGGCAAAGATCATCAACACGAAGACACGGGCAGGCAGGGTGCCGTCACTGTTTGTGTCTGAAGCATTTATGTGTCTTGGACAGTGTGTTCCGCGGTGCTAGGGTAGGGCCCAGTGACATGAAGCAGGGGAGCGAGCCCATCAGAAACGCTACACAGTGTCGGTGCCTCCCACTCTCGACCCCGCTGTGACCGCGGCGCCAGTGGCTGCCACTTTCAATACCTGCACAGAGAGAGAGAGAGAGAGGCAGAGGGGGGCGGTGCACCTGAACCAAACGGCAACAATAACCAAATGACATTCATGTTCAGTGTTTGAGTGGCCAATGAGAGAGAGAGAGAGCGAGAGAGAGAGAGAGACTTGAATTGGTCGAGTAGAGAGTTGAGAGAGGAGAGTAGAGAGTAGAGAGAGAGTAGAGAGTAGAGAGAGGAGAGTAGAGAAAGAGAGTAGAGAGAGTTAGGAGATTGAAGGGAGAGAGCGTTAAGAGAGAGAGCTTGTCGAGGGTAGAGAGTAGAGAGTAGAGAGTAGAGAGTAGAGAGTAGAGAGTAGAGAGTAGAGAGTAGAGAGTAGAGAGTAGAGAGTAGAGAGTAGAGAGTAGAGAGTAGAGAGTAGAGAGTAGAGAGTAGAGAGTAGAGAGTAGAGAGGAGAGAGTAGAGAGAGAGGAGAGTACCGATGTAGAGATTAGAGCGGAGTGAGTAGGTGGTGTGAGAGAGAGACAGAGAGAAAGGAGAGTGGAGAGGTGATGTGGGCGTCAAGGCAGGTCTTGGGCGAAGCAGCAAGAAGCAGCAAAAGGCCGAGAAGACCAGATGGCAAGCCCGGCAGAGCAGGGGCCAGGGCAAAAAACAGAGTTTGACACAGGAACGGGCAAAACCGCAAGGGCTGGTAGAAAGGGGGGCTTGGACTTGGTCATGCGAGCAAGACACAGCTGATGTCATGTTGCTTTTTGTGGTGCGTGTGTATGGCATGCGGATGTCGGTGCATCAGACTGCCATCTCGATGGCCGTTGAGAGGCTGGTTAACATTGAGTGAGTGTGCTCTAATTGTGATGTGCGCGCCACGATGGAGCTCAGCGCGGATGGCTGACTGCCCTTTTCTCGTGCTTAGGGCAGTGGGCGGGGGCTGGCTGGTGAAAGAAGCGAGACTATTGTTTTGAAGGAATTTTCAGGTTACCAGTCAATAGGGCTACACTTTGCTCACAAGCCCGTTGCCATCAAGCCAAATCCAGCTTGACTTGCGCGTCATGTTGATAAAATATCCCCCCTGACAAAACGAACAACTCGGTCTCACGTCAATAAGCACAAGCAAGCCTACCCTACCAGTTGGAAAGAAGGGACAAAGCATACCCTTCCCCCCTTTTCCCCTCTTTTCTGGTCGTAATGGCCCCCTTTCGACGCGGCTGTGGGCCTGTTGTCGTTTTCAGCGTCGAGTTGATGACATGTTGTCTTTTTTCCGACAGCGTGCGTTGCGATGAATCGGTTTATGCTTTTTTTCTTCCTCTGCTTCTTGCTTCTTTTTTCTCTTTCTTTTTCCTCCGCTGCTTGCCTCTTGCTTCTCACCGTCTCACCAAAGGGGTGTGTGTTGGGGAGAGGCGAGGTCGCGTCAGGCTCACGGCCGGTCATCGGGGCATGGTCGAGTAGGGCAACACACGAAGCTGTCAGGTAGAGAGGGCGAAGAGAGGTGCAGACGGTGGAGTGTCTTGCTTCCGTAGTGACACAAATGTACGCCACCCACAAACGACCTTTGCACGTCGCGTCAAAGCCCACCTCACAGCAGCAATTTAAAGCCCCTTCCTTCCTCCAAGAAACAACAACAACATGCAAATGTGATTTTAATTCCCTGTTTGCCTTGCGAAAGCCGTTGCTTGGTGAAGCCGCCCAGCCCGGACTTTGCTCAGAAAAGTCCCACGAGTATGTTGCGTGACCCATGTCATGGATATTTCGGAACCCCTCTAAACTGACAGACTCGGAAACGGAGACTCGAAACGCGACCAAACGAATGACAGAAATGCGAAATCCGCGCGAGGCCCAAACCAAATTGCGTGGAGATAAAGTCATACATGACCCAGGACGACTCTCACGCCGCCAGGCCCGTCATGGGCTCAACTCAACGAAGCTTGTACACAAAAGAAAACCGCGCTGGCGCGCTCGTTTCATCTTTTTATGGGTCTTCCCCTTGTAGCCTTTCCGTGGCGGCTGGCTCTTGTGAGCTCCTCATCCACTCTCGGTCCCAAAATCTACGCGCTCCGCCACACACACATATGCGCACGCAAGTGTGTGCGTGTGTGTTTGTCTTTTGTTCTTTGGGTTCTTTTGTTCTCTTTTGTTTTGATTCTGGGCGGGGACAGGACCAAAGTCGCCGACACCGACCGACCAAACACGCTCATATCAACGCAAAAAACGGCAGCGTACAGCGTCTCAAGCGCAACCAGCCACAAAAAGCGGAGGGACCCGAGGGCTATCGCTGCCCCAGTCGTCGGGCAGCTTCACGCACGCACGCACGCACGCACGCACTCACACACACATACACCCTTCTTCTCGCTCACAGAGACGCTGACGGACACAGACTGCCTGCGCACGCGCAGACTCGTTCATACCAAACTCCCCGTCTCCCCCTTTTTTTCGTTAACCTTTTGCATGACTGTTCTTCAAAGAAACCTACATGTGGCTGTTTTGTGGGTTGAGTTAAGGGACACACTAGGAAATAGCAAAGAGGGATGGTGTGGGGGGGTGTGGGTCGCACGTCCACACACACACACACACAGAGAAGTCGCTTGCGTTGCTTGTTGTTTGTGTTTGTTTTTGTTTTCTCGAGAGAGAGAGAGAGAGAGAGAGAGAGAGGGAGAGAGAGAGAGAAAGAGAGAGAGACAGACAGAGAGAGAGAGAGAGCCCCACACACGCACACGCGCAGAGCGGTGCTGTACGGCGGGGCGGGCGGGGGGCAAAGTGTCTCGGTGTCTTGGTGTCTGGGAGCGCAGCTGGGCTGTGCACTTTCCAACATCCCCTCAGCCTGCAGGTTTTGGATTCGTGGCCGGTTGGCTTGTCTGTCTGCCTGTTGATTTGATCGCTGCGCGCTGCCTGGCATTGATATCATACTGGCTTTTCTGAACACGACTCAGTCGCTCTGCCGTTGATCCACCACCTTGCCGCTTTTTCTCTCGTCCCGTGCGCCACACCTCCCGCGGCGGCTCGTTGACGTCCTCCCCCCCTCTCCGGCACTTGAAAAACCCCAACAGCATCAGCCTTCGACGCTGGTTTGGTGTTGCTTTGCCTGATTTACACCCGGGCTCAAGTGGCAACCCACCTCGCTTCATCAGGAAATCAGCGTTTTTCTGTTGATTTTCTTTTGGACGACACCACAACTACAACTGCAATGGCCGCCATGGACATGTTTGATGCCGTCTGCCGCGAAGGACCCCTGAATGGCAACCTCCCTTCGCCAGCCCTCTCTGCGGCCACCTCTTCCTCCGAGTATGTACATCTCCCTGTCTCCCGCACGCTCGATTCAGCTATCACAGCTTGACTTCTCCGCTCATCCTCTTTGATGTTATGGTTTGTTTCTGTAGATGCTCACTCTCGGAGACGGAAGCCATTCAATCTCTGATCGCCGATGTCAGTTGGTCGCCCCCCACCATTGCCTGCCCTTTTTCTCTCTTTTCTTTTCTATTCTCTTCTTGTCTTGGGGCGTTTTGAAGCTGGGGTCACGATGCTGTCTGGTTGTTTCGTTTCAATGTGCGCGGGTGTGTGTGTGTGTGTGTGTGTGTGTGTGTGTGTGATCGTGGTCGGTCCTTTGCTGAAAGGTGCGCTGGCATCAGACAGCTTTTCTCGCTCTCCTGCGTGAATCTCATTGGATAAAAATACTTTGGATAGGATTTTGATCCGACCACAAGCGACCTCTTCGACTCTCCCATAGGCTCTGACTTTCAAGGCTTTGAGACCTTGTTCTCCCTCTCTCTCAACGATTACAACCGCATCGAACCCATTCTGCCCCTCGATCAAGACATTCTCAACATGCCAAACATGAGCAACTCGATTTACAACTACGGCCAGGACAGGTTGCCGGCTGCACCACGTAGCGTACTGCCCCTTCCCGACGCCGTCGCCACCCTCAAGATGGCCCCTGCGCCGCGCTCCCGAATGGCCATGTCCAAGCCCAAGATTGCCCGTGCACCGAAATCAACTCCCCCTCGCCGCGCCTCCACGGGCTCAAACCCTGTCCGCCTTTCTGCGCCAGCCACCTCTATCAACCACCGCGCCCAATGTGCCTGCTGCCAGTCAACGACCACCCCCATGTGGCGCGAGGGTCCCCTCGTGAACAATGAGCCCATGAAGCTGTGCAATGCCTGTGGCATCCGCTGGCAGAAGTATGGCACTTGCTGCCTCGAATGCCGCTATGTTCCTCGCAAGCAAGAGAAGGCCCGTGGAACCTGCCCCTACTGCCAGCAACAACTGCCCACCAACCTCACCACGCGTCGCCGCTCGCTCGGCACCGCATCAGCTCCTCGCCGCTAGCCAAAAGCTGTGCGTCTCGTGCTATACCTGCTGCCGAGAATATCCAAGCGCTTGCCATCGAGTCGTTCTAGCCGGCCTGGAATATGCGCTCCCTCAGTTTCTGGCAAGACCCGATTGTCAACTTGAACCCGACAATCATCCCCTCTTTACCCTCCCTCCTCTTTATAAAAAAAGACATTTGCTTTATTTTGTCTTGTATGTTTTCTCTTCGTGCTCGTCCCCTCTGCATTGTCAACCCATGAGTGTTCGCCAACGCTCGGGTTGATTGGCTGCCAGTCTGGCTCGCCATGGCTAGTTTGTATTAGTCCAAGTTGGGCTTTTGGTCCTACGTTCTTTGAGTTTCTCTTTCTCCAAACCGGCCAACACCGCACCCGATTGGCACTGCCATCGGACGTGATGGTTGGTTTGGTGACTTGTGCCGTGACGTTTTTCCTCGACTTTGTTTCTTTTCTTTTTTTTTTGAATTAGCCCACTCTTCTTTCTGTTCCATTTTTTTAAATAGCTGTTTTTGTTCATGTGCCTGAAGCCCTGTTTATTACTCGGTCTTGTCGCTTCACGCTGCATTTGCTTGTTATGGTGCATCTGTGTGCAGACTGCTCCTTTATGTGTCGGACGAAACGCCATAGTGGCGCCTTGTCTTGTCTAGGTGATGCCAGCTCTTTTTGTGGTTTGATAGCTTGGCATCAATGTCTTTTGTTCATTCTCTTTTTTAGTTTTTTTTTTCCTTTTTTTTTTTTTCCCCTGGTCAATTTCGTCTCTTCTTCGCCCGGGTTTCGATGGTACCCGTGTCTGATCTCTTTGTTGGATCGTCGATGCAATCGATCTGATATGCTACATGCTTGCGACTGATGAAGAGGCAAAAGGTGTAACCAGACTGGCTTGGGCGTCAACTGGTGTCGATTGATTTACTCTCACTCGTTCAAGCAATTCCAGCCACCGACTGACATGTTACACACAAAGAACAATCACAGGCATTGCACCGGCAATCAGAAAGAGCGAAAGAGCACCAGCTGGCGCCTTATACGCGTCGGTAGTGGGAATAGGTGTGCACGTAGTCCATTCCGTGGTCGGCAGGGTTCTCAGCCACCAAGTTGACGTAGCGCGTGAACATCTCTTCGACCAGCTCATCCTTCTCCTCATCACTACAGAACGTCAAGGGCCCGGTCACAAGACGGTGAATTGAGATTAAGAGACGCGGGCATGTGCGCGCGTGTGGCAGCCAGGTGCCGGGGCGAGTCTAGACGGGCATCACACAGCCATCGCCCTTTGTGCAGGTATTCCATTGCAGCGACTCACCTGCGTGTAGCGTCGAGACCAGCGACAAAAGTGCTGTTGGACCAGGTGCGTGTGGTCGGGATAAACTCGCGCGCGTGCTCAAGGGCATCGCGGGACTCCTCGGCCTCAAGGGAGGCAAGCCAAGAGGCCCGGTAGGGGCAGGGCACAACAGCCGTTTCCAGCGACACGATGCGGAGACCATCGACCTGGTTCTCCGCAATCTCGTCCTTTGAGCGGTACTGGTTGGGAAAGTTGGTCGCTTGCCATTCCTTGTGCGTAATCAGGCCCTCATCAGCCATGGCGTGCCACAGATTGTTAAAGTTGTGATGCATGCTGCTCGGCGTTTGCGCAGTGGTGCCGAGAAACTGGCCGTCATCGTCCTTGGCAAAGTTGACGCAAACAAAGGCACCGCCCACTTTGAGTTCGTTACGGCGGTTCTCAATGATGCGCAGCCAATCCTGGCGAGCCTGCTCCCTGAATGCAGCAATCTCGGTGGCTGGTGATCCAGAGCCAAAGCAAAAAAGAACAAGAAAAAAAAAAAAAAAGAAAACAAAACAAAAAGAAGCCAAGATGAAAGAAGTCAATGTGAGCTTGGAGAGGAGCAAGCCATGTTGCAGAGCCTTGAAGTTTGAGATGCCATCCTTGCCCTCAGATTAAGTACATCCCGACCCGACACAGGGAGTGACCAACCATCTGTTGAGCAGGCCGAGTGGAGGCAATCACGCAGAGGCTGGGGGATATCTGTCAGCCAGTGCATGGCTGTGGCACTAAAGCCCAAGTCGACGGTTTCCGGGGAGACGACCTGGTTGTAGAAGCTCGAGCCCGAGGCCAGGACGAACACATCCTCGTACTTTTGTGTGTACGAGCGCAGCTCTTCGCTTTGGTCTGTTTACATGCGCCAAACCAAGAACCACATCACCGCATCAGACGCAGGTTGGTGCCATGACCTTGAACTGGCAAAATCATGGAGTCCTCCAGGCGCGGCACAAGGACCCGCGACAACAACAATAACATCAAAGCGGGCAGCTCGATGTTTGACTTACGCATGCTTCCAGCAGGGGTGATCAGGCCGTGGGCGTGGTAAAAGACGCTGCGAAAGTCATTGGTGATTTGATCCTCATACACCACCTCGACGGGTGTGCTGGGCAGCGCAGCCTTGACAGCGTCAACAACCTCTGCGGGAAGGAGATGGCAGGGGCGAGAGAATAGGGAACGCGGGGTTAGAGTTGGGGCGTCAGAGCCAGCGTGGTGACGAGGCGAGCAAGGCACAACTTGGAATGAGCTCAGCTCTCTCTCTCTCTCTCACGTACTGCAGAGGGCGGGGAGAGAGGTGCCTCCATCGGCAGTGCCGTAGTCAATGATGGTGAACGGCCGCTCATCATTTCGCGCTTTGTAAGCCTCGATGGCTTGCTCAGTGGCCTGTAGCAGGAGCGGCGTGGCGCGCTCAATGACGTCAAAGCAGCCCCGCGTGGCGAGTGAATAGTAGCCTAATCAAACAAGCCAGCCATGCAGGATCAGGCAAAGCGGGCTCGAGCATCGAACGTTGACCATCTCAAAGTTAAAAAAAAGGGGGGGGGCGGGGGGCACGAGGTGGCCCGCGACAACCCCTCACCAGTGCCTTCTTCGCCAAAGGGGACGTGCTTGCCCGTCGCTTCCTCAGGGGGCGAAGTCGTGGTGGAACGGAGGCGACGCATGGGCCGCCCGCACCCTTGAAGACGTGTCTGGGCCCGAAGACCCGCGGACAATGTTCTCGCCCAATTCACGGCTGCCATCTTGCCAAGATCTCGGTACTGGTTCTCTTCGTTATGATGTTATTCCACTGTCAAGCCGCGCAGGGCACGATTCCAATGTGAGGCAAACAAGGGCCAGCAGCACGCCTTGAAAATCGCAAGCCAGCTACTCTCGGCTGCGAACCCATTCACGTACGAACCCTCCTTGTCGACCCCGCGCACCCCCTGCGTGTGTGCGTGTGTGTGTGTGTGTGTGTGTGTGTGCGTGTGTGTGTGTGTGCCGTTCAGTTCTCTGCACAAATTCCGAGAGAGAGGAGAGAGAGGTGAGCGAGGAGAGGACGGCGATGGGATTCGGGAGCCGTAGACAAGCTTTAAAACCGCTGCATATTCGATGGATACAAGTTAACGTTATTTGGCTTTGATTACAACATAATACTGCATGTTCTCTATAATATGCTACATTAAACAGCAGTTTCTTCTATCGTTTGCCGTCTTCTTTGAAGTTCCAGCACCCCCTCAATCTAAAGCACACACCTTCATTCTGTACCACAAGCTAAATACCACCCCTCCATCTTCAACGCCGATTACCCAACCACAACAGGTGTTGAGTTGATATGTTGTACTCGGATTTGTCAAGGTCTCCCATCATCAGCACGATGGCAACGTCTGAAGGTCGTGAGGTGGTGGCCATCCTCGATGCCGGCGCCCAGTACGGCAAGGTTGGTTCTCCTCCTCCTCCTCCGTATCCTCCCTCCTCCTCGTCGTCGTCGTTCCTTTTCGTCTTGAATGCTTTGGGTGTGCGGTTTTGTGTGGTGGCCGGGGGGTGTAACCGAGAGGCAGCAGCCTTTGTCAAAGCGGCATGTGTGACAATACGCACGCCGTTGTGCTGACACCACGTGCCCGCTTTGGCTGGCTGCTTTTTTGTGGTCTGCGAGGGGCGCCAGCGGCACGGCGTGCAGCGGCAGTTTCGAGTACCAAACTCACTGCTGGTGGGCATCGCGCTAGTTGATTGACCGTTGCGTCCGCGAGCTCAAGGTCGAGACTGACCTGCTCCCACTCAGCGTCTCGGCCGACGAAGTGCGCGCCGGCAACTACAAGTAGGTGATTTGATACCCATCATGCCGAACGTTTCCCTGACCAACTTTGCAACATCTCACCGGTGTTTTTCCTACGCTGCTTCACTACCACTGCTGGGCGGCGTGATGCAGAGCTGTCATCATCTCTGGCGGCCCCAACAGCGTCTACGCCAGCGATGCACCGCCATTTGACAGCGCCATCTTTGAGCTGGGCCTCCCTGTCCTGGGCATTTGCTACGGCTTCCAGGTATCCTTGCTTTCGCCGACACGCAGACTTCTGAGCAGGCACAGCCATGACACCCCCTGCATCTCGTCTTCCCATCGCGCATCTCTTCCTTGATTGAGCTCTCTGCCGACATGTTTGCATCCACCGACTGACGGATTCATCATCTGACCCGCATAGCTGATCAACAAGACTTTTGGCGGTAGCGTGCATGCCAAGGAACATCGTCAAGATGGCCAGCAGCACGTGTGGCTGGACACCACTTGTGCTCTCTTCAAGGGCCTTTCCGAACAAGAGCTCGTCCTGCTCACGCATGGTGACTCGATTGACTCCCCGGCCAATGGCTTTAGCATTGTCTCCCGCGCTGGCAGCATCATTGCCGGTACGTCGCGCAATGCTGTTCATCCCAGTGACCAACTCCCATTAGCTGTCAAGCATTCTGATGCCCGAGCCAACATACCTCGTATCGTTTGCTCCTCCCTACCCGTTATGAACACCCAGGTCTGGCCCACCCCGAGCGCCCCATCTTTGCTGTTCAGTTTCACCCCGAGGTCGAACTCTCCGTGCATGGCCGCGACATGTTCCGCAACTTTCTCTTTGGCGTGGCTGGCTGCTCTGGTACGAATGCCTTGACTGGTGCTGCCGTGGGTGCTTTCCGCTATGTACCGGCCAGACATGTCGCCCAAGTAGTTCGTCGCAAGCTCAGCTTTCTTTTTTGCCTTGTCTTGCTTTGTTCTTTTTTTTTTTTTTTCCCTTTTGGTCTTATCGTCGTGGACAGGCTTGTACACCATGGTGGATCGCGAGCTGGGTGCCATCCAGGAGATTCAGGACACGTTGGGTGACAAAAAGGCCCTCGTGCTCGTGTCTGGTGGTGTGGACAGCTCTGTCTGTGCCGCTCTCCTGAACAAGGCCGTTGGTCATGAGCGTGTGGTCGCGTTGCACATCGACAACGGCTTTATGCGCCTCGATGAAAGCGTCAAGGGTATGCGCCTCCCTGCCAATCCTGGGTCGTTGGACGTGTGTCCGTACACTGGACAATGACCTCCCACATATCTTCCTTCGACCTTTTTCGCCTCACCAGACGTCCTTGGCCATCCTCATTCATAGTCAAAGTCAGCCTCGAGCGACTGGGCCTGCCTTTGCACGTGATTGATGCCTCGGAGGACTTTTACAATGCCACCACCGAGATTAAGCGCAAGGACGGCACCACATACACCACCAAGGTGCGCGAACGCATGAAACATCAAATGGGTGTGCCTGTGCTTGACCCTTCCCTGATGTTGGTTCTCGCCCAACACAGCGCCTCAAGGAAACCACTGCACCCGAGGAAAAGCGCAAGATTATCGGCGATACCTTCATGCGCGTATGTGCCTCTGCTTTTGTGACGTTTGGGAATGCAACGGCAAACGCACGTCCCGCTTCCATGGATGCAGCCCTGAGCCTCCAGCCATCTGCACACCCCCCTTTCTGGTTCACTCCTTCTTTGGTCCCGTACTCCTCATGTAGGTGGCGGAAAAGGTTGTCTCTTCGTTCAACCTCAAGCCAGAGGACGTCTTTTTGGCTCAGGGCACGCTCCGTCCTGACCTGATTGAAAGCGCTTCCAAGCTGGCCAGGTCAGCTTCAGCCGAACCACTCACGCAGAATCCCGGGCGCTACTTAACCGGCAGCGTGTCTCCAATCTTGACAATCATCTTTATCGCGTAAACCTTGTAGCTCCAATGCCGATGCCATCAAGACGCACCACAACGACACTGAGCTGGTTCGTCTCCTCCGGGAGCAGGGCCGCGTGCTCGAACCGCTCAAGGACTATCACAAGGATGAGGTACGCGCATCACGAGCGGGTGGACATGCCACCGAATTTTCCGTGATTTCTCTGCGCGGCCTTCATCTCACACGAATGTTGGGGCTATGGTCTTGCTCTCTCACCAGGTGCGCGAGCTGGGCCGTCAGCTGGGTCTGGCCACCGACCTCGTCATGCGACAACCCTTCCCTGGTATGTTTGCGTATCAAGATCAGAGCCAGGTGGAACGCACGACTTGTTCCACAGCGTGACCTTGACTTTTGTTCCTGGTTCCGGTCTTCATTGTGCCACTCGATATTGGGGGGTTTCTTCAGGTCCCGGACTCGCAATTCGCGTGCTCTGCACAGAGGAGCCTTACATCACGGATGACTTTGACAGCACGAACATGCTGCTCCAAGCCTTGGTGGGCCAGACTGTGGAAGACCCCAAAATTGTTCAGAAGGCCGCCAATGCCATCTCCGGCCTAGGCGATATTGGTGCGTCAACGCGCCCCGCCCAGACACGGCAAACATGCTAGCAACCGCCACACCTCACCCGCCATGGATGCTTGCTGAACCACAGGTGCTCCGTTGCTGCACCTTAGCGGCTATCATGCCACGCTGCTGCCCATCCGCTCCGTGGGTGTGCAGGGTGACGGGCGTACCTACAGCTACGTTGCGGCTCTCACGTGTGAGGCCGACGAGCCGGATTGGAGCATCCTATTCCTCCTGGCGCGCGTGATTCCCCGCGTCTGCCACTCTGTCAACCGCATCGTCTACGCCTGGGGTGCTCCAATCCTGGGCCCGGTGCGTCAAATCACCACCACCCACCTCACGCCTCCTGTGTTGCAGCAACTGAAAGAGGTGCGTCTCGTTGCCTGTAATGAGATTCAAGCAGCAATACGAGTCTTGTCTCTTTCTACTTCTTGTATTTCGTCATGCTACGCGTTTGATGTGCTCTTGATTCTCATCACAATCTTTCGCTTGTCACTGCATGCTAGGCGGACGACGTTGTCAACCGCCTGCTCTTGGAGAACAACCTGATTCAGACTATTAGCCAAGTGCCCGTCGTACTGGCGCCCGTCGACCCCGACGCATCTCTTGACATGCCCAGCACTCGCCGTAGCGTGGCTATCCGTACCTTTATCACCTCGGACTTTATGACCGGCCGCCCCGTCGTTCCGGGCGAGGAGGTGCGTACTATCGACTTTATGTGACAAGCTAAACAAGAGCGCAAAGCGTCTCGCTGTCGCCCTTGTATTGCACGCCGCTCACGATGGCCCTCCCGTGCATTCGCTGCGTAGCTTCCGTTGGCCGTGCTGCGCAGCATGGTCTCGCAAATTCAGAAGATCGAGGGTGTGAGCCGCGTCATGTACGACCTCACCGCCAAGCCGCCGGGCACCACCGAGTGGGAATAGGCGCTGTGGCTGTGCGATTTCTTTCCTGCTCCCCCTCTTGTTCTTTTCGTGCCTCGTCGTGTCTCTCGTTCGCCCGTTGTGTTGGCTTGAGTCAATGAAGATGTCCCTGTTCTAATTGCACCTCGTGCACGTGCACACGGCTCGATGCCTGTGGCTGTGCAGATGCTGGCCCAACACAAATTGTACATTGGCAATAAATAGGCAAGAGCAACATACTATCAATTGCGCAAATTTCTGACACAGCAGTGAGTTGCCCCAACAGACAACAACAAAAACAAGGAACTTGGCAGAGGAAAAACAAGAACAAAACCCAATCAAGGAACAGCAACAGCCAATGCGCAGCACCGACCCAAGGCGCTCGAAACAAGCCCTCGACGTGCCGTATAATGAGAAAAGTCACAGACCCAAAAGCTCATTGCTATGTCTACGTCGGGACCTCGTCAACGCGCTTGCCGGCCTCGTGGCTTTGAGCACGAAACACAAAGGAAATGAGATCGCCACCAGCCTCTGAGAGAATGCGGTCTTTGACCCCCTTCCCGAGGGGATAGTGGTCCCATTGGGAAAAGTCAGAGGGGATGCCCATGGGTTTGCCGTCGGGCTTGATAAGTGCGTAGGTGCCATCACGGCTACAGCGCCCACACTTGAATTGTGCGTGCAGGTCAGAGGTGGTGCCCTCATTCAGTGTAAAAAGGCGGCGGAGGTCGGCCAAGCTAAAGTGTCGCTGCACATCCTCGGCCTCGTCAATGACACAGTCGCTGAGCGCAGTTTTGTGGGCTTGGCGGGCCAGAATCTTTTCCTCAATGGTCCCCGTGGCCACAAGGCGATAGACATAGGTGATGCGACGCTGTCCATCGCGCCAGCACCGAGCCAGGGCCTGGGCGTCCGAGGCCGGGTTCCAGTCTGGGTCGGTGAGGATGAGGCGGCTGGCTCCAATGAGGTTAATGCCGCAGCCACCCGCTTTGGACGACAGCATAAAGATAAAGTCGTCACTGTCGGGGGCGTTGAAGTGGTCAACGACTTTTTGGCGCTTCTTGATGCTCATGGTCCCGTCCAATCGGACGTACTTGTACCGGCGCTGGCGGCACAGGCGCTCAAAAAGGTCAAGGGTCTGGGTATAGTTGGAAATCAACACAACCTTCTCATCTGTGGTACTCTTGAGCATGGCCAGCATTGCATCCACCACCATGACTTTGCCGCTCCACTCGGGGCTGACAACACGCGAGTCCCATTTGGCGGGCACCAAGTCCTGCAGCTTGGCAAAGCCGGGCTCGCGGGCTTGAATCTTATCCATAATAAGCTCGGGGTGGTTGCACAGCTTTTTGAGGTGCGTGATGAAAGCCAGCGGGGTGGGGCCACTGCCACCACTCTTTTTCTGGTTTGTCTTGCTGCGTTTCGAAGTGCTGCTGTTGGCACCTTTTCGGCTGCTGCCGCCGCTGCTCTGCTTGACCTCATCAGCGTCAGCAACAGACCCGGGCCCGTCGTCTTCAAGGGCAATGGCCTGGCTGTCAATGAGGCGCTTGTACATGTCGAGCTGCAAGCCGGTTAGCCGACAGCAGACCACGGCCTCAATCTTGGGTGGCAAATATTTGGAGAGGATGTCCGAGGTGCGGCGGATGAGGCAGCGATTGACGAGCTCGACCATTTCATTGAGCTTGGTCTGGCCCAGCTCCTGCTCTTGGGCAGTGGCGTCGGCATCACGACCACGTAAAATGGGAATTTCGAATTTTTTGCGAAATTCACCGGCTGAGCCCAGTAAACCTGGGTTGACGAATTCGAGCAGCGCGTAGTACTCGAGCAATTCGTTCTGGACCGGTGTGCCTGCGGTTTGAGCAGACAGACAGACAGACAGACAGACAGACAGACAGACAGACAGACAGACAGACAGACAGACAGACAGACAGACAGACAGACAGACAGACAGACAGACAGACAAATGAATAGCAAGTGCAAGCACGAATCGAGAACAAAAAAGTCATTGAAAGACGAGAAGGCACTGGTCTGGGTGGGTGGCGGACAAGACGCACCAGAGAGAATAACGCGGCGCTCCGTTTTCAGAGCCATGAGGGCGCGATAGGTTTGGTTCTCACTGTTCTTGAGCCGATGTCCCTCATCGCAGATAACGATGCCCACAGGCTGATCTAGCGCATGAATGTGCCCTCGTAGCGTTTCATAGGAGATGATCAGCACCTGGGGGGCAGCGCGGCCCGAAGCTGATCCAAAGTAACCTGCGAATCACATGGCCAGACCTCAAACGTCAAATTGCATTGCAGGGCAACGGGCACAGTTCGGGAGCTGGCCGCCGTGACGTACGCAGCTTCTTATCAATTTCATCGCTGGCTCCGTTATCGATGGGAAGAGTGCTGACTCGATCGCCAAGCCATTTGCGAAACTCATTGCTCCAGTTCTTGACCAAACTCGAGGGGCAGACAATAACGGCCTTGGTGAGGGTGGGGCGGCATTCCGGTGATTGTTTCTGGTTTTGGCAGCAGTCGGGCACCCATGAGAGACAGGGAGCGTGCGGGATAAGCTAGTGCAAGACGAGGGTGCTGCCACGAGTGGCAGTGACAGTGGCAGTGACAGCGGCGGTCGCGGAACAGTAGGTTGAGCGTACCAAGAGCGTCCAGGTCAGGGTGACGTTTTGCAGAGTCTTGCCCAAGCCCATGCCATCGGCCATAATTGCTGAGCATTCAAGGGATATGCCGCCAGGGGACAACAGCATGGTCAAGTGAGGACAAAGGCGCTTGCAATGCGTGGCGAAGTGAATTGCTTGCGCACGTCTAGCCTCTTACCACCATGATAGCCGGGAATTTTGAGCCCGGTGACACCTTGAGAAGGACACATGCGCCCGAGGACAGGCGGCCAAAGGTGAGGTGGGAATCTGCAGCGCCAAGCACGGCAGAGCTGGCGTCTGGGTCAAGGCTGGACCTACAGTCGTATAAAAACTGCACACCCTCGATTTGATGTGGTCGAAGTTTGGCTCCAAGAATGGGATCTACCACAACAGCCACGGGGTGCTTGTTGCTACGCGAAGCAAAACCACGCAGTCCTTGTGGTGAGAAAAAAACGTCCTTTGCGTTTCACAGATCAAGACCTTTTTGAGGAGGGCCCACGTCAAGGCTAACGACCAAGAGGAATCACCATTTTGCTGGAAAGGCACGCCTCGAGGGACCAACCGGATTTCAGGGTTGGAAGCATCGGCGGCGCTGAGGGGTGGGGGCCGATAGAGGACCACGGCAGCATCATCATCCGGGTCGTGGAGGGGCTGGCGAAGAGTCAAGCGTCGAACACCCAGGCCGCGTCGGCTGTTGTCTGAACCCGAAAAACAAGCAGGCAGTCAGCACGGATGGAAACGTCGTGGCCGTGTGCGAGCCGGGCCTGCTTTCTTGGTCATGGTTCTCACCAGTGGTATGCCCGGGCAGAGGGCTCTTGAAAGGCTTGCCCAATATGCCGAAGATGCGCGCTTCCTGCCGTGGGGTTGCATGCAGTCAGGATCAAACGACATGGTGGGCGCACGAGGCTGTGGCACAACGAGGTTTTTAAAGTGCACAGAGGCACAAAAGCGTACATGGGCCGTGATGACTTCATTGCCATTGAGAGGGGTCAGCGGCTTGCGGTCAGCCATCTGTTGGGAAGGGTACATTTCACAGTGATGGGCGCGCCAGCTCAAACAACATGGGTTTGGTTTGCAATGTACAAAGGGTGGGAGGTGGACCTTGGGCTGAGGGCTGCCGCTGTCACTGTCATCGCCATTGTCACAGCCTGGCGAAGAGCCACCCACGGTGGGTGCGATGGATCTTTTGCGTGGGACAGGACCGAGGCTCCGTCGGGACGGTGCCAAGCTGCGGCGCTGTTCCACACCAGGCATTACACGAATGGTGAATGGCAGCCACGCAAGGAAGCATGACATGCCAGCAGCACGCCTAATCAAGGAACCACGTACCATGATATCGGCGCGACGACGCCCACACAGATGAGGCGTGGAGGTCAAGTAGACTTGCACTCACTCAGCACAAGACACTGCAAGGACGAATCTCTGGTTTGATCTGTGGCGCGCCAGCGCCAATCAGATGCAAACGCGAGCAAGCAAAAAAGTGCGCGCGCTGGGCAATGCGTGCCAACATAGACGACGACGCGCTCCCGTGCGAGGTGCTGGGGCAAAAGCACACGAGGAAGTGTTCAGCAAGGTCGCTGGGGTTTTTGAAGTCACTGATGACGTGTGTGCCAGTCAAGTGTCTGCATATCAAGGGAAATCAGGCCACTGATACGGTCAGGGCCGCTGCCATTTGCTGCATTGCGTTGGCAAAGCGATGGTGTTGGCGGGAAATGTCAAGCTTCGTCGTGAACTTTAGCTCCGAGGGATGTTTATCGCGACAACTTTAGCAAGATAAGGTGAACACACACACACACACACACACACACACACACACACACGACCGTTAAAAGGTGGCAGAAGCATTTACATCTGGTAACTTGAGGTTTCTGGACGAAACGGTCACAGCGAGCGAGCGAGAGAGAGAGAGAGAGAGAGAGAGAGAGAGAGAGAGAGAGAGAGAGAGAGAGAGAGAGAGAGAGAGAGAGAGAGAGAGAGAGCAGCGAGCGAGAGAGATCGATGGTAACGGTGTCGGTGTCGGTGTCGGTGTCGGTCTGGGGTCTGGGGTGTTGTGCATTTATGATTGAGGTGGTGTGCTTTGCTTTTCGTTTTGGGGTGTAGGCTTGGTGGCTCGGGTGGTTGATTGGCTGGCTGTGCCGTTTGCACCACCGTCGGCATGAGGTGGGTCTGGGCGAGCGCCTGTGCGACCTGTGTGTTGTCCGGCACTGAAGCAATGCCTTGGGTCGATAAAGATGGCTCTGAGCTCAAGGATGCCGTTGTTCTGGCTCGCTTCGTCATTCGCAGCTCCACAGCCACGGTGGAGTTGGCCGCCCTGGGCCGGTTGCCCAAGAGCATTCTTCTTGAGCGACTCAACCAGTCTCTACAGTGCGAGTCAGTCACTTGTGCCCCTTGGCCTTGGTGCTCCTGGTGCTGGGCTGCCGCCCCACCATGTCATCACCTTTTGGAGCTCGCTGACTCATCCTGCGCGGCTCCATGCGTGTCGTTGGCAGTTTGCCTAATCAAATCGACTGGGCCTTTCGGGCGCTCAAGATTCTGAGCTACAATGGCATGGACTTGGATGAGGTCGGACCCAGACCCGGACCCAGGCCCTTCTCTTTTCGCCCACCAGGGCACAACCTATTTGTTTGGTGTTTGCTGCATCCTTTGACTGACGAACAAACACTTGCTGCTCTTATTTCCTACAGTTGCGTGAGCTGCTCCCACTCATGGTCAAGATTGCCGAGCCCGCCATAGCGGATGAGGTCTTTCAACAGCTGCATGCGTCACCCCCCAAGCATCCGTCTCACCTGGAGCGCGCTGTTACGACTCTGAACCCCGATTTTTCCATCGCCGAATCTGGTTCGTGCCTTTCTCATGCACATGCAGATTCCTTCTGTTTTCATTGCTCCCTCTCAAAACGTTCTCATTTGCTTGCCACCACAGAGGACGAAGCCATCGACCTGGAGAGCATGGGTCTGCGGCTCGTTCAACTTCTCGAAGTCCTTGCCAACCTTTCCACAAACGAGGTCTTGTTTCCGGCTCGCTTGCTTGGCCCTTGTGGTCGTCATCGCATTCTCGTCAACCCCGCATTGGGCTCACGCTCACTCCCTTCCCATCCCTAATTCGTGTCTTGGCCACACCCGCGTAGGATGCCCGGGATCTTCTTGCTCGACAAAAAGGCCTCCAACGCCTTCTCTGTCGCTGGTAGGACCATCTGGCCCATCCCAATTGCAAGCATGCTGTCACGCTCTCCCAAGGGATCGGACACAGGTCCCAAGCTTCGTCAGTGCATCTCCTCACACTTGACCACCCTTTCGCAGTCTGGCTGTGGAGAATGCCATTCATCACATACGCCCTGGTCGGCGCACTATCTTCAACACCTTGTACAAACACCGTGTTACCATCACTGCCCTCGCTGCGGTCATCCTTGCCGATATTAGCAAGGATCTACAGCTTCGGCGCTTGGGCCCCGAGGGCACCGTCCTCAAGCAATGGCTGCTCCAGATTATTCTGACCAGTGATCATCTCAACCTCCTGTACGCTGCCCTTGTCATCATGAGCCACCTGGTACCCGTCAGCAGCAACCAAAATTGGCTCCGAAGTCTCGGTGGGTTATCAATCACAAAGTACCAGTCTGCGTCAACATCCCCGCGAGCCGTCTCACCCCCGCTCTCACTCGATGCTCGTCTCGCCACTTCACAGGCAGTGATCTGTGGTCTCGACTCGCACAGATGGTTCTCATCCACGACGTGAAGGTATGCTACTGGGTCCAAAGCGTCTCGGGCCAGTCCTGCCGTGCTTCCTACCTCACCCGAGGCTTCTGTCCATCTCGCCTCACGCAGGTGTTATGCGCGACGTTGGAGCTTTATTATCAATTCACTCTGCACGATGATTTTGCGGCCCATCTAGCGGCCCAGCGCCACGTGGTGCCCGCCTTGATCTCTCACTTGCGCTTCCTTCCAGACTCATGGCCAGATCGACGTGGGTACAATTTTAGTCCTTCTCTGTCACTTGACCATGTCGTACATCGACACCTCACTTCCTTTGGCTGTGTGTGAATGCCCCCGTCTCTCATCCGCACCACAGTCGAGACCCCACTTTTGCTCATTGAAGAGATTCTCAAAGGCACTCAGCCCGTCGATCTGGAGAGCAGTGCGTATCAGCCGTATCAGCCTTTGCAAAGCTTGCTTTTTGCTCGTGTTCCATCTGAAGGACTGACACATTCCTTGACATATTTTTTCTTCCACATTCCTCAGTGGCTCCAGAGGTGGGCGGCATCAAATATCTCGAGCCGGCCAGCGCCACCCCCTTGCAACCTATTCTGGCCTTGCCTCAAAGTCTGCAGCATCTCAAGACTTGGTCAGCATCCGATTTCCCTGCAACTTTCGTCGCCCCGTCTTGACCAGCTCGCAGCCTGCTTTTGCAAAAGCGCCCCGAGCGGCCACGTGTTCACTCTAACCAAAGGCTTTGATGATCCATGTCATTCTACATAGGCTTACCGCCACGTTTGCTTACAAAGGCGACCATGCAACCGCGCTGCGACGTGCCGAGATGTACCGCTCTTACGTTGCGGTCTGTCAAAGTAGGTGTCAAGACCGTGCTCGATCGTCCTCTTTGGCTTGAGGGCACATGTACGCCTTGGAGCGTGAAGGGCATCTATTCTTGTAGCGCCTCACTCACTTGGCGCGCTGTATTTAGATGAAAATCGCGTGCCATTGTGCACAGAAGTGTTTGGCAAGCTCATCATGGAGTGCTTTCCAGGCACCAAGTGCGTCACTGGTCCTGATTTGGGGCGCACAATCTATTATACAGCTCTCTCCTCAAAAGCGAGTCAGGTGTGTAGCACCGGCCGAATCTTTCCGAGCAATGCAGTGTGTTTCCTCTTCATTCCCGTGTTGGCTCACGGTCCGGGATTGGAATCTCTTGATGTCTCTGTTTGCAGCCGACACCGTCACCCCGTGAGCTGGTGGTAGTGCGAACGCCAAAAATGATGCGCGAGCAGCGCCTTGAGGTGGCTCGCCGAGGACCATTGCAAATAGATTCCGTTCGCTTGGCCCGAGAGCGGCGTGAAGAGCAACGCCGGCAAGCCATGGCTCGTCTAGAGGCAGCTTCGAGCGACATGGGCTCAACACCTGAGGGTGCTGGTTCGCATGCCGTCCCACTTGCCGCGCCAGCCCACGGGTCGCCGAGCAGCGATGTTGTACCACAGGCCAAGGTGTGGCGCCGCAGGCTCGACAAATCAGCAACAATGTAGTGCTAGCGGATGTTGAGCTCATTCATCATGTTCTTTTTTTTTTTTTTTTTTTTTTTTTTTTTTGTCATGTCATTGCATCTCTAGCGAGCTCATATCGAGACGGCGCCACAACCGTCCTCCGTTACAACCGTTCCGCCGTCGTCAACATCCTCGACCGCATCAGCAAACTTCTCTGCACCACCGCCAGCTTTCTCATCAACGGCACCCGTTGGCCAGCCAGTCTCAACGGCTCCTGTAGCCCAGCCGACCTCAACGGCTCCTGTAGCCCAGCCGACCTCGACGGCTCTTGTGACCCAACCAGCTTCAACGGTACCCGGGGGCCAAGTAGCCACAATGGCTGCTATGTCCCAGCCAGCCTCCACGGCCCAACCAGCTTCAACATCGTCCATGAGCACTTCTGATCTACCACAAGTAGATGGCCCTTGTGGCCTTGCGTATGAAGACACCTTGCCGCAAGTAGATGGGCCCAACGACGAACCGTAAGGTTTTTTTCTCCTAATTTTCTTCTCGCAAGCTGCGCCCACCCTTTCCTCGATTCTCGCCTTCTGACTCTCTGCCCGGTATCATGTAGGGTTGTACTACGACGAGGGCCAGCCATTACATGCATCAACCCGCAATGTGACAAGGTCTACAAGACCGTCTCTTCTCTATCCTATCACCTGACCTCGAATCCTGACTGTCTGCGCTTCACCCACACCTGTGCGTTTTTATGGTTTCTTTGTGTTTAATTTTTTTTTTCCTTCGAGTCGCTGCCAGATCTGGAGCCAAGTGCCCGATTGTGGCTGACCGATGTCCTTTGCTTCCTCGCATCATGCTCATGCGCATTTGTGTTAGACACTCTGGACTCCATTCCGGATACTACGAGTGCCGATCACTCGTTTATCAAAAATCTCTTGACCAATGCTTCGCAGCCTGGCTATGTCTGGGTCTGCCGCTGGGATCTCTGCCACCGGTACGAGGCACCGCTAGAACCTGCATCGCCATGATTTCTCGTTTTCTTTTCAATCTCACAATGCACTACTGTTTGGCCCCGAAGACCTTTCAAGACCTTCCGGGAGGCCATGGCCCATGTCGCCGACTTTCATGCCACACCCACCCGCCCCGCTCCGTATGAACTTTGCTCTTTACTCGTTCTCCTGCTAGCCTTTGGCAAGAGCGATTCTTGTCTGCGGCATTTTGACACAATGCCTTTCCATGTCATGGTGCCCATAGTGTGACTTGTCACTGGGAGGGTTGCACCAAGCTTGCGCCTACCATGAAACGCTCTTTGCTATCGGCTCACATGCACACGCACTACAATGTGTGGAAGCTCACCCGTGAAGATGATCCGGTAAATTCTCCTCGGCGCCCAAGCTTCTATGCCATACCGTCGTGCCATACCGTCGAGCCACGCATCGGCCCGAGATGGCCATGAAAAGCTCACTTGACGCATGCCTATACCTCGCTTGGGCATTGAGCAGAGCATTGATCATCAGCCTCTCCCACCAGAGGATCCGACATTCAATTTTTCTCAGAGCATTGACACCCACAGTCCACCTGCCGGCCCGGGATATACCTCGTCTGCGGCAGCCCTGCCTGCCATGCATTCTGCCTCCTCAAGTTTATTGAGCAGTGCCATGCCAACTTCGGGTACGTGCATGTTGCTAGATCATCTGTGCACCGCTCACTTGTTTTCTGGTGGGGTTATTTGTCAGCAAGTCCCGATCGGCGAGCTCGACGACTTCTCATTGCTGCTTCTTCGTTTCATGGATCTATTGCATGGTTGTAGGCGCTGGCGGCCTGCCGGTGGAGCTGTCTGCCTCTGTGCCATGGGCACATCAAATGGAACTGCTCAACAGCCAAGAGGAGACCTTGCGGCGGCAGCTTCAGGATTTGGTGCAACAAGGGGCTTCACAGCACCCACATTTGATGCAGCGCCAGCAAAGCGTTCAGCATCAGTTGCAGCGCTTGATGCTTGAGCGCCAAAAACTCCAGCTCCAACAGGGTCAGGCCGCCTTGTTGGAGCGCCAGCGCCGCCAACAAATGCAAGCACAGGAGAATCAGCTTCGACATGGCGCGCAAATGCGCGATGTCGATCGCCAGCGCTTGTACTGGGAGCAACAGCGCCAACGGCAGTTTGACTCGGGCAAGCAGCGTGTCAAGTGGGAGCAAGAGCGGCAACTACGTGAGCAAGCTCGGCGCAAGGCCCTTGAAGAGCAGCAGCGAAAGTTGGCTGCGCAAGCGCAGGCCCGCAAGGCGAGGCAGATGCAGCAGCAGACGGCCTACCATCGCGCCCCCACTGTCACCGCCGCCATGGCCCGCAGCTTGCAAGACTATGTACGTAGCCGACTTGATCTTAGCTTGCGGATTTTACCGTCATGTCAACCGCTTTGTCATCCCCACATAAAATAGTCTAGCCCGTCCCAAGTCTTACCCTGGCTTGTGGTGCGTGTTTTTTGGTGCCCTGGACAGGAGCAACAAAAAAAGCTGTTTTTAGAGAACATTCGCGTTCATAGCGGGTCCGTTTGGGTGCGTGAGCACGCGTGCGATCCACGCACCATCCAAACCATCCGCTTCATGGCCGCGCTGGTGCTGCGCAATTTGGCCAAGACCGCACCGACGGCTCAGCTGAAGTGCCGCGAGGTTTGTGAACCTGCATTGCCGGATTTGCTGCTATCCACCAAGTCGCGTGGCATGGATATCCTCGAAACATTCACATGGTTGTGTGGCAGGACACATTGCTTGACGTGGCAACGGAAAATGCCGAGCTTCGACGCCCACTACTGCAATGCATCCGCTCCCTCTACAATGCGGCATAGATTTTGAGAGGCGGGACTCTGTCACTACTGTCGTTCCTAGCTTGGTGATGAGGCCTTGCATGTCCTGCCCAATTGCTATTTTACTTTTTAAAGACACTAACATTTTTTTTCCCCAAGCATGACAGATTCTCTTGCATCGCAATTTACTGCTTGGCGGGACGTGCACCGCGGGCCTTGCTATTTTGACCCTCGTTTCGAGATCGTCCTGAAGAACCCTCCGCGCCACTGCGGTTACCACGTCCGCCACGGCCACCCCGGGAGCGGCTGCCCCGATCGTCGCGCTTGCTCTGCACGGAAGCCCGCACTTCCGTACCCTTGAATTCCTATGAAACGGACCGTAAAGCGAGGAGTGAGAAGGTCAAAAGGGGTTGTGTGTGTTTGTGGTGTTTTCATGTGTCGGCGGCTCGGCTGGCAGATGGGAAACGCCCAGCAGCTCGCTGACCTTGCCGTTGAGATGGCCGCACGTTTTCTCCGCATCCTCGTCCTTGACAAACACGACAATCTAGGAATCAGGTCCAGGTAGCAAGGTGAGCAGGGAAGGAGGACATAGCCGGGGCCAGAAAAGGTGATCAAGCGAACCTTGTCTTCAGGATCGTGGGGCACGTCGACGGCCAACACCACCGCAGGTGCCGCCAAAGCTCGGACCTCACTAGCTTGCACGCGGTTGTCCCAGCAGACCTACAGCCATTCCAGGGGTTGTGGGCTTTTGAGAAAGCGCTCTGCTGACCACCCATCCGAGGTAAACATGCAGCAGACATACGGCGGGACGCAGCACGACGGCAGACACGCCGGGCTGGTGGCGAGGATGGACGCCCTCGCGCTTGCGCAGCAAATTGTCGCCATGATGATAGGCTTCCAAACCAACATGAAAATCTTGAACGACCAGCAAGGTGGCACAGGCTCGCTGCATGCCGGGCACGGCAATATGCCATACCGACTTGGCATACGTGTTGTCAAGCGTGAGCTTGGAAAGCTGCGGATGAGGGGTGCTCAGGGAAAGTGAGACGCATCGAATGCTTGGCGGTTGCAGCCGATGGGGATCCGGTGCTTTATCATTGACCGTCATGACGCTATGAGCGCACCTCAAAAGCGGACTTGATCATGCTCCGTTCGGCTTCGGAGCAGCCGTCCAAGGCTGCTTGCGGTACCTTATCCCAAAAGGACGCCATATCCGTCGTAGACCTAGAAACAATGCAGGCAAGGTTTTGATTAAGGGTCCTGGGCAATGTCAAGTAAACATGCTTTTTGAGAAAGTATTGAGTAGGCAAATAAGGTCCCGATCAAGCGCACGTACTGGGCAGTGTAAAGTGGAATCGCAGTGGGGGGCACGACCCCGAGCAGATAAAAGTTTGAGGGGCACGGCGCGTTGGGCGCTGCAAAACACACAATTGAGGCCTGTGCAGAGGCACAGAGGTGTGAGGGTAGGGCCAAGCGACAGAGTACATGCCATGCTCGGCGCCAGTGCGAGTACCTTCAGCTTGGAGGCAAGCTGGGCCATGTAGCCCTGATAGGCTGGGCTCTCGTTGCAGAGGAAGATACGGATTTCGTCGTTGGTAGCATACTGCATCGTATCAAGCAGCATGATACAGGCACGAGGGTGTCGAGGCGTGAAAATGAAAATGATGCGGGCAAACGACGAAAGCAACGGGGGCAATTGTGGAGGCCCGAATGTCGACGAAAAAGCCCAGGCGAGAGCATACCTTATCGGCCAATTGGACGAGTTCGCCCACTTGCATGAGCGTGGACCAGCACTGGCCCTTGGCGCCGGCGATTGAGTCAACGGTGCCGTCGCCAGAGTTGAGAAGACGGTGGTGCTGAAACTCACCACCCAGGCCAAGCAGGCTGTGGAAGCAACCATGTGTGACATGAGGTGCCGGCGCAAAGTGTCCATAGTGCAAGTGCTTGGCAGCGTGGTCGAGACGGGGGAGGCACATACCGCAGCTTTCCAATCAGATGGCTCGTCATTTCGTCAACCATGTGAAAGTTGGGAACTTGATAGGCCTTGCTGCGCAGTTGGCAGAGCACGTGGACATCACCTGGATGCAGCGGGCAATGAAAGGCGCACGGAACAAACAGAGGTGAGCAGATTCATACAAAGGCAGTCAATGGGACGAAGTGGCGGGCGAGTCAGGACAAGTTTTAAGCGGGCGCTGCAGACGAACCAATTGGGCTGGAGATGGCATAGACGGGGGTCTGAAATTTGTACCGGCCCGAGAGGTAGAGGGGAAACTCGCCGAGACCTAGGGATAGATCCATGGTGGCGGTGTCAAATCAGGTCAGGCTGGATCATAGATCTTCAAGGGGAGAGCGGGTCCGTTGCTGACGTCCTAGACGGAGAGAAAGCAACAAACCGTTGTGATAGCTGTCGCGTGAGACGTTGGATTGTGGGAGCAAGTGCTCGGCCGGAACGCGGCCAGCGCTATCGTTGTCGTAAAAGCCAAAGTTGCCCACGTGCAGGACAAAGTCCGCTGTGGTGCGCTGAGCCAGGGAGTCCATGGCGCGCAGATGACCTACAGTGGGTGCAAAGATGTATGGCCGTGAGGTGCCAGTGGCTCAGTGAGTGAGTGCAGGAGAGAACAGACAAGCGACACTGAGAGAGTCAGGGAGGGTACGAGCCCAATGCATACCGAGAGCGTTGCTCACGAGAAGAACGCGCATGCCATCGATCCGAAAGAGCTTTGATTCGAGTGTGTGTTTTGAACTCGTAGCAGGAAGCGTGTGGTTCCCACGGCGGGGCGGGCCCGCCGTGGCTGCAGAGCCGCCAGAGCTGTGGCTGCCGCGGGATCGATGCTGGTTATCGCTATTCTTGTCGCCATCTTGGGTTTGGGGGCGACGTCCCGACTTTTTGGTCGCTGCTGACGTGGTGGTCGTGGCGGTGGCGCTGGGAGCTGGGGGCTCGGGTAGCACCAAGGCCACGCCTTCAGTGGCAGATTGAGACATGGCTATCAGATTGATGGTGTGATCTATGCCATGTGTCGAGATGTGACAGTGAGCACACACGCTGGTCAAGGCCACTTTATGAACTGCTTTCATCACGAAAGGGGGCCTGAGCCAGAGCGGCTCCCCGACTTGAGTTCCGACCCGCCCACCCAGGGATTCTAACCAAGCCGCATTGACACAGCCTGTCCCACAACGTACCACCGTCTACGCGTCGACGTTTCCAAGCAGATAACAAATGCAGCCAGGACGTAGCCAGCGAAAGGAGCAGAGGGAAAGGCTAGGGCCGTAGACAGGAGACGACGACGACGACGACGAGGTCAACGGCCAGTCCGAGTCCAGTGCGCGCGTGAAAAAAAAAAATAAGAGAGAAGGCACTGGATGAGGTCTCAGAGAGGGAGCGAGAAGAGGATGTTTGTGTGAGAGATGGGGAAGGGGACTGGGGAGAAGAGAAGAGAAGAGTTGGAACGTAGTGATGGAGGCAGAGATGGAGATGGTGTATGAAGAAGATGAACGAAAATTAGAGCACTTTTAAGAGGGGCTAGAGATTATTATCACTCAACGGCCAAGAGTAAGAGACAGTGCCGCGGGAGGCGATATGAGAAGAGAAGGAGTCATCAACCACAGACAGCGTGAGAGACAGAGACTGAGAGTTGTGCTTGTAAACTGTAAAACACGTTACACCTTGATATGCAAATCATTGTCAGACAATTTACCGGCAAAGAGTATGGTCACTGCTTTCATGATAGTTCCCAAAACGCTTTTCGAGTACTTGTAGCATTGATAAACCGAGTATGTGAGGTTTGATTAATGATTGTAGTGTAAGTTATTGTAGTTGTTTTTGTGGTTTACGAAGCTGACAATGTTAAATGGTCCTGTCGTTGCGGCAACAACAGAAAAATCTCATTTCGTGTGACAGGCAACGTTGACATGTTCACTGGACGACAAGAGTTTATGCATCTGTTCAAGCACTTGTTGCAGATTTGAACGACGTTACCGCTCTACTTGATGAAGGCTATTTACGACCATCTGCTGAAGGCGATAGTTTTGTTTTGGTGGTTCGACTGACTGAGTACGCGCGCCTCGCGGTAATGGCAGCGGGTCGGCTCGATCTCTGTCTCGAGGGCATTCGATGGTGCGTGCATTTGTGGTATGGATCGAGAATCGGGGCTCATGGTTGGATTGTCGTAGGTAACACTTGGCGCGCAGCAGTTTCCTTTACCTGCGGCTTCTGAGACGTGTGCCACACCGCCAACACTCACACAAGAGCTCGAGCAAGATGCGTGGGACGGCAGCGCGATTGGCCTTTCAGGTCCTGGGCGGGAATGGCTTGCGCCAGCCCAACGTGGCCATTGCCGGTGTAACGGGTGCCGTGGGCCAGGAGTTTCTCGCCTGCATGGAAAAGCGCAACTTTCCGTTCAACAAGCTGAAGCTGCTGGCGTCTGAGCGCTCCGCGGGCAAGAAGATCACCTACAAAGGCCAGACGTATGTCGTGGAGGCTTTGACGGAGAACAGCTTTGAGGACGTTGACATTGCCCTCTTCAGTGCCGGAGGCTCGCAAAGCCGTCAGTATGCCCCTGCCGCCGTCAAGGCGGGAACCATCGTCATTGATAACTCGTCCGCCTTCCGCATGGACCCCAAGGTGCCCCTGGTCATTCCCGAAGTCAACCCTCAGGCCGCCTACCGCCACAACGGCATCATTGCGAATCCCAACTGCTCCACCATCATCATGGCCGTGGCCGTCTATCCCATTCACCAGGCCGCCGGTGTCCGCCGTGCCTCCGTCGCCACCTACCAAGCCGCCTCCGGTGCTGGTGCCGCCGCCATGGCCGAGCTTGAGCAGCAGGCCCGCGACTGGGTTGAGGGCCAGCCTCTGACCCAGGACATTTTTGGCCGTCAGTACATTTGGAATCTTTTCTCCCACAACAGCAAAATCGATCCCAGCACGGGCTACAACGAGGAGGAAGTCAAGATGATGCGTGAAACCACCAAGATCTTTGATGATGATTCCATCCGCGTCACTGCCACTTGCATTCGCGTGCCCGTTCTGCGTGCTCATTGCGAAGCCATCAACCTCACCCTCAACGAGCCTCTGTCCGAAGATCAAGCTCGGGCCATCCTGGCCAAGGCCCCAGGCATTACCATCCATGACAATCGCGCTGACAACAGCTTTCCCGAGCCTCTTATGGCTTCTGGTGCGTGTGGTGACCCGCTGTCAGCGTCCCCACTTGCCGTGCTTGACGGCGCGTGAGTTTATATCTGTCTTGGTCTGTACCCGCTCCCCTCCCCAACATCGTTTTGCTACTGTAGGCATCGATGACGTGCTTGTGGGCCGCATTCGGGCCGATTTGAGCCAAGAGAATGGTCTCGAGGTATGCCCGATTCTTTTTAAGATGCTACGCTGCTCAGCTCCGCCTCACCTCGTGTTGCCTGAAATCGTAGATGTTTGTGGCTGGCGACCAGCTTCTCAAAGGTGCCGCACTCAACGCCGTTCAAATTGCCGAGTTGCTCATTGAGCAGTAAATGCCTGATGTGTTTATGTCTCCGAGTATCCGTGTGTGTGTGTGTGTGTGTGTGTGTGTGTGCTCGGCGCTTTGCCATGGGCTGCCAGCGAGCTTGTTTGTCGATACCCGACCCAAACTCCGATGAATTCATGCAAATAGTCCTCTCTCATGTGCCTGAATTTCAAATGTTTCTTTTTTTTTTCTTCTTCTCGCACGTGCTGATTCCAGACGCGCAACCTTTGCTTTGAGCACGAAATCTCGATTGACATGGGCCTTGGGCCCTCCAGCAGCGTCCTTTGCTTGACGAAGCAACACACCGGCACTGCCCAGCAACGCAAACCGCAGACAACTACCACGGACACGGGCGACACAAACCCGAGACGACAGCGGCGACTAAGGCATTTGCTTGCATGCAAGCTTAATGACGGTGCTTGGCCGCCTTCTTCTGGCGTCGCGCACTGGCACGCATGCCGCGACGATCCGCCTTCATACGCTGATCCACTTGCTGGTAGCGTCCGGTCAAGCCTGAGGCGCACAAACCCAAAAATTTGAACGTGAGAACAGTCTATTACAAGAGCACGGAAAAAGCCAAAGCCATGGCTTACCCTTGGGGCGAACGGCACGCTTGGCTGCTAGGCTGCGCTTTGCCACGACATATGTTGTCTCGCGCTGCACCAAAAAGAGAGCAAAAAAAAAAAAAAAAAAAGTCGTTGACATCATCGTGAGTATACCGGCGCACTGCCACAGAGCAAACCAGCATGGCAATACGACCCAAAAAAAACAAAACAAAACAAAACAAAACAAAGCAAAAAAGCGGCAGGCCACACCTTCTGGTTGCGTGACCGGTTGTACTGCTTGTACAGTTGTTGGATCTGTCGGCCCTTTTCACGCTCTGCATGCCACACCGGATGCACATGGTGGTTAGCTCGCATCAATGTCACGTCTTGAGTCACCTTGGGGCCGCAGCACGCTCATGGCAGCAGTCTTTTTTTTACCAGTGAGAGAGTCATTTTCAGCAATAGCCTCTGCTTGCTTGGTGAGCTTGTCCAAGGCGCGGCCAACACGTTGTTTCTTGCGCGCCTTGGCCTCCAGCACACGGCGCAGTGGGCGCGCGTTGATCTCACGCTGTCGTTGTTTAATTTCATCAGCCATCTCACGGGAGGTGGGAATAATGCGCTCACGATGCGGGTTTTCCTCGTCCGCAAACCACATGGGCAAGGGGTCATCGTTGTGTGCAAAGCGGTTGTACGCCGCCTCGATCATCTCGCGGCGCTTGCGACGCACAATCATTTCCGTGGCCATGGCCAAGCCAGCGGCATCCAAACCGGGGCGATTAGTGCTCGACTCTGGAGTATCCATGGGCACCTCTTCAAAGCCACCACCCTGGTTGCGTCCCTTGTCACCCTTCTTTGTGGGCACTTGGTCACCCACGGCAGCTTGTACGGCCAACTGCTTGGTGTCGTTGCCCAGCGCTTGATCCAATTGCGCAAAAGCGGCGTCAAAATCGGCATTCTGTTCCGTCGCTTCGTCGCCATCCTCTCCTGCCTCGGCCGCGGCCTCAGCCTGAGCACGAGCCCGTGCCACAGCTGCCGCACGTCGACTGGCCGTGTTGAGCCCCTCCATATCATCCTCATCTTCATCATCAAATTCGTCAGCCGAGTCCAGCTCTCCGTCTGATTCGTCCAAATCGTCAGCATGAAACTGCAGGCCCATAGCTTCGGCCCACTCTTCGTTGGCATATTCCTTGGCAAGCTCCTCAGCCGTCTTGCGACGCTTGCTCTACCCGGTGCAGGTCAAATTGGGATGTCAAGCAGACACGGGGAGAAGCAACAGGTGAGTTGTAGCCTGTAAAAGCAGCCAGGAGAAACAGCGTGCTTGTGGCTGAAGAGGCACCAGTCAACAGGTGACCAATGCTGCGAGATGACAACGAACCGCTGGGCCACCGTTGGTGCTAGATGTGGCACCCTTGCGCAGGGCCGCGGCACGCTCCTCCTCTTCATCATCGAGATCCAAGTCTTCGTCCAAGTCTTCAAACTGGTTTTGGGCAAACCACATGGCAGCCGTGTTGCGCTGCTTCGAGGCTGAGCGAACCAGCAGACCGGTGTCGTTTTCCAACGCCTCATCCTCATCGTCAGCCGCCTATTGTTTGGGCCGAATTGATGCCACATCGGAAACTGAGTCGTACAGCCCAGTGCACCACAGAAACTGGGCCGCTTGCAGGACACCGGCCATTCATAACAAAACTGACCACAGAAGCCGGGGCAGCGGCGGCAAAATCGGCATCATCTCCGTCTGCATCTTGGCCATCAACGCGCGCTTCGATGACGGAGCTCTTGTTGTGATGACGAACCACGCTGTAAACATTGGCCAGCAGTCAGGCAAAGCGTGCCAACTCAAAGACGCCTGGAGCAAGAGAGGAGGAGACAACTGTGCATACGAACCGCTTCTTCTTGTTTTTGCGCTCCAGGTACTGTTCATAATCACGCTCCAAGGCCTCCTCCATCATGGCCTGCAAAGGTCGAGGGTTGATTGATAAATGTGTATAGGTACGAATGAAGAGCCAGATTGACATCAAACAGCAAGCAGAGTCCAGCAAAGTAACGTACGTGAGAGCCTTCCTCGCTAAGATCGAGGGTGATGTGACGGCGAGGACGAGCTTCGTCGGCCACTTCCATCAACGGGTCCATGGCCGCTTCCATATCACCCTCATCCAGGGCTGCAAGTTGATCTGCGTTCTTGACTGCCTTGAGGTTGAAGAGGATGCGTTCATTTGTGTCTTCGGCCATGTCCATGGGTGTTTCCATCTGCAACGCCATGCGCTCGCGCAGCTTGCGGTGCTCCTTGGCCTTGAGGCGGCGCTTGCGCTTGAGTTTCGCCTTTTCTTCGGCCTTGGCTTCGGCCAGGGCTGTCTCAAGCTCGTCCTGCGAATCAGCGGATTCGCCATCCTCCTCGCTTCCCTCACCTTCCTCGTCCTCTTCTTCGTCCTCCGAGCCTTCGCCATCAGCACCTTCAGCCGCCCGTTGCAGTTTGGCAGCTTCTTCAAGCATCATGGCCATCTGTTGGCGCCACTTGATCAAGGTTCGAAAGTCTTTTTTGCCCAAGACCTTGAGATCGACGGCGAGAGAGCGGACTTCGCCAGTCGTGGCCGGATGCTTGGCAATCAGACTACGGGGTTTTGAATCCAATGAGAAGAGGTGCAATCGTTTTTAGCAGAGGATATGTCGAGACCAAGTCAAAGCCAGTCTCATTCCGTGCCAGGTTGTGATGCAAAGCCTACCTGTCATCATCAAATACAATCTGATTGTGCATGGCTAGAAGATCCAAGTGATTGTCACTATTTGCATCATCAAGCAGGGACGGGGCCAAGAGACAAGCGGCAATGATCAGAAAATGATATGATTCCAAACCAGCTGTTCAGACGACCAGCAGTGTACAGCTGACCTCTTGACAAAGTCCTCAGCCGTGATGGAGGTGAACATGCTCTGCTTGACGTTGTCATCATAACCCTGGGAGCAGTTCTCGGGGTGAGTGGGCCGCCAAATTCAGGCCACAAGACTGGCGAGGCTCGTTTGATGGCTAAAAAGCACCGACCTCGGCGCGAGGCTTGCGCTTGGGGTCCTTGAAAATGTCGGGCAGCGTCTGTCCATCGTCAATTTCCTCAAAGACATACTTGGGATCCAGCATCTTAGGATCGATGCGGTCTGGGGCCAGGAAGCCCTAGGACAAGGTGTTGGGGCAAGCAGGCGGTGGTGGACGTCAGGATCAACGCTTGGGCGTGAAGTGGGCCAAGAGGGGACTTTGTTCATAAACGCAAAGTGGCAAGAAAAGCCGACCTGGCAAACGACGAAGATTTCAGCCGAGACATTACGCGAGGAGGTGGGCTTGGTGGCTTGAACCTTGCGGAAGAGCTGCTTGAAGACCCACATGAGGGCGTGGTAGTCGCGAGAGCGGAAGACCTTGGTCACAAAGGTGCCCTTTTCGACAAGAAACTCAGTGGCCAGCTTGAGGGACTTGAGCACAAGCGAAGCTGAACCGGACGTTGATGAGTATGAGTCAGAATGTAGCCGTGTCGGGCGTGTTGAGGCTTGAGGGACCACTACAAGGTGAAGAGAGCTTACCCTGGGTGAAAGCATCCTGAATCCAAGAGGTACCGACGTTGGGAGCACCGTCGTGCAGCACCACATCGGCCTTGAGATGCTTCATCTCTTTGCGCAGCATTTGCCGACAGCGCTCCGTCGTAATGTCCGCCACCAAGCTGAGGTGCAGAGAGGGGACGAAAAAGGAGGAAGAAAAAACAAAAAAAAAAAGAGGGACGGATTCAATGAGTCATGATCAGCTGCAAGATTGACGGGGTCGGATGCCTCTGCTGATAGCGCTCGATTGATGGGGTCGACAGGCAAGATTGCTGCTGCAAACCGAGGCCAAATTCATGCCAAGGTGCTGCCACATACCCAATGCATCCCTTGATGGGCTTGATGGGCACGAGATCCACACCGATAATCAAAGAGGACGGGGGCATATTTTGTGCCGCAACTTGCATCCTAATCAGGCACACAGAAAACCGATGAGACGTTGGGGCTTGAACAAGGCATTCCAAAGGCCTAGCAGGGGGACAAAAGAGGGCCACGTACCAGCCACCGGGGGCGGCACAGAGATCGATGCAGACTTTGGATTGTTGGAGAAAGTTGAACTTGCGGTTGAGCTGGACCAGCTTGAAGGCTGAACGGGCGCGCAGACCCGTTTCCTTGGCCAAGTGATAAAACTTGTCCCGCCTTTGTTTTTGGGGGGAACGGGAGTGTAAATAGGCAAGTGGTGAGTTCCAAGATAGCCGGTGCTCGCGAGAACGAGGTGCGCTTTGAGCTGCCGCGGTCAAAGCGCTGCCGCAGGTCGACGGGGCAGATGTCAAGCCACGTACCGATCCTTTCCCGTCTTCACCTTCTTGCCCATCTTGGCGGTGCCGAAACAAGCAAGCTCAACGCGCCACACGCACTACTCCGTTCGTCTCCCCGCAATCGTATGTCTATCCTTGGCCGCTTCACGTCTCCGGAGTCTCCTCCCGCCTGACGCGCGGTCCCACACACTCTCAGATGGCCGAGAGAGAATGAGATGAGAGAGAGAGAGAAGGAATGAGAGAGAGAGAGAGAGAGAGAGAGAGAGAGAGAGAGAGCACCACGTGTTGTGTGTGTGTGTGTGTGTGTGTGTGTGTGTGTGTGTGTGTGTGTGTGTGTGTGTGTGTGTGTGTGTGTGTGTGTGTGTGTGTGTGTGTGTGTGTGTGTGTGTGTGTGTGTGTGTGTGTGTGTGTGTGTGTGTGTGTTTGTGTTGAAAAACGTCTGACAAGAAACCATTCAATCTTACAGAAGTTTCATTACCCCCCTTTTTTTAAATAGAGTTTTGGCTTCAAATCCAGGAGTTAAAGTTTAATTTGGCATTTTGCCAAAGTTGGCCTGACGACAAACTTGACCCGCTCGTCGATTTAGTCACACTACTGTACACTTTGGATTATGGTAAAGTGCGGCATTTGTCATGCTTTGAACAAAATGGCTGACAGTTTGGGACCTCGGCAGCGCCAAAATTTTTCAATTTGCGATGAACGCGTTCACACACTCACGACGACTTGCCATTTTCGTTGGTTGAGACCTGGTGGTCGATACAGGGCGCTGTGGGTGGCAGAGGCAGAGCGTCGGAACGCAGTTGGAAAAACCTCGTGATTTGACATCATGGCGACTGCCTCTTTGGATATTTTGCCGGACGAGGCCCTGCTTCACATTCTGCTGCACGCGCAGTGGGTCGACTGCATCGCCTTTGCTGAAGCTTCCCCACGCATCAAGTATGCTTCTGTTCCACTGCACCAGCCGACCGGTGGCTTGACTTTTCGTCCCAACAATGAAACCTCATGACTCAAGTTCGACTCACGCGCTTGGGCCTGCTTGTCTTGACGTTCTAGGACCCTTTGGGATAGCAGCAGCGGGTATGCCATGCGGTGCCAAAAACTTGAGCGCGACGGCGTGTACATTTCAAAGTTTCTCCATCAGGACCACACACCAAAGCAAACGTTTGAAGCTGCCTGGCCTTTGCGCCGACGTTGGCACGCCATCCGCGGCGACGGAGAGGACAACGAAGACGACGTCGTCATCGACAATAACGTTGACAATGACGACTTGAATCCCGACAGTGCCTCACTCGAAGCAGGGAACACAGCCAAGTTTCGCATCCGCGTAGCAGCTCGATTTCGTCCACTGCTTCACCACCAACAAGGTGACGATGCCTCAAATGTAACAGCAGGCTCCGGAGCCGAGGACGACGAAAATCAACCCGCCCACGATGAGCGCGTCATCGTGCCTCTCCACCAACGCTTGCGCCTCATCCGCAAGCATCTTAATTGTGACCGTGCCACGGCCCAACGCACCCTTTGGGGTGCGCAACACGATCCATGGAGCAACGCTTTTGTGCCCAACCCAGAGGACACCGACACGACCACGGCGAGCCAACCCGCTGCCCGGGAGCCTTTGGCGGAACGCCAGTCCCCCAGCGAGCCCAAGGATGCTGCCGTGTCTACCGACAACAAAACGGGGATGAAGTCCTCGGTTGTACCACCCACCAACAACGTCACAACCTCTGCTGATCGCGCGCTGGACGCAGAACCTGGAGACGAACACTCGCGCTTGCCAACAAAAATCCGCACCGGCGTCTTGGCGGTGCGGCCGGAGCACCGAGACCTCTTGATTTGCGCCATGGGTGCAGGCCTGCGTCGGTTCCGATTCGACACGGTGTTTGACGACAAGAGCACGCAGGACGCCCTCTACACCCAAGTGGGCGCCCCCGTCGTCTCGGAATTTCTCAACGGTATTTCAGGCACCGTGTTCGCTTTTGGACAGACAGGTTCAGGTAAAACATTCACCATGTACGGCCCCAATGACGAGGCCAGTGCAGCTATCCAAGAGGCCAGGCCGGACAAGGGTCTGGTTCCCCGGGCCTTTGAAGAAGTTCTCACGGCCGTGCAGGTGAGCGCCCAAGTGACGCCTTGTTGATTTACAAGCACGTTAAATTTTGTTTCTCGTGTCTGCATCACTCTCTGTGCCCCCCCCCCCCCCCCCACACCCCTTTTTCTTTTCTTTCTTATCTGGCCTTGGTACCCTCAGTTGGCGCCTGGCATGGTGTGGCTGCGCGCGCCGTCCTCGAAGACCAGCTGTCCGTGCCCGTGCACAATGCCCAGGATATGCAGCAACAGCTCCTGGCCGCTGAGCGCAACAAGCGTCGAGCTGCCACGGCCATGAACCAGCGCTCCTCGCGTGCCCACACGCTCACCTACCTCACCCTGGTGCAGCGCTTCAACAACAGACGCGTCCGGTCTCTGCTCTGTCTGGCCGATCTGGGCGGCTCCGAGCAGCTGAAAAAGTCGCGCGCCACTGGCCAGCAGCTGCAAGAAGCCGTTCAAATCAACATGGGCCTGCTTGCCTTGAAGGAGTGCATCGATGCCTTGAAGCGCCGGCGTTCGCACATTCCGTACATGAGTTCACGACTTACATCTCTACTGCAGCCTGCGCTCATGGGCAATTCGACCGTGACCGTGGTCATCACGGGCAGCCTGGAACAGCGGCATACCTCGGAAACGCTCAACGCGCTGCGCTTTGGCGACGTCTGCAGTCGCATCGAGGGGGACGAGCTTGAGGTAGAAAGCGACTTTGCCGACGACGCCCTCGAGGCCCTCGACACGGAAATCAAGCACCTGGAAGAGGTGAGGCTGACGCTCTTGATGGGCTCTAGAACCCCGTGATAATCGCACCTCGTGTCGGGCTTTGCACTTCTGCTGGCTCTTACTGAACCTGTTGTCTTTGTCTTGCAGCGTATCCGCACTGAAGAGCGTTGGGTCAACAAGACGGTTGTTCGACAAGATGCAGACGGTGAAGAAGTCTTTGTCACGTCCGTCTTGGAGGGTGCCGAGGAGCTGCGCGAACGATATGAGCAGCTCCTCGCCACACGTCATGATTTGATCGGTGTTTGAGGGAAGGAATCTACTGAGACTTTGTACAGAGGACGCCCTTTTGAAAGGATGTTGAGTTGAAAAATTTTAACGTGGTGGAGTTTAGCCATCGTGTTGATTGTCGATTGTCGTGGCGCAGGCGCAGCCGGCCAGAATTGATGAAGAGTACTCTCTCAACGTGTAATCTGGTGCCGGGGGCAGAGCTACATTTTTTGGCTTTTCTTCTTGTTGGTTTTAGTGCTTGCTCCATTGGCCTTGTTTGAACGACCATTGCGCTTCGTCGCACCTTTGCTCGTTTTACCTTGACCTGGCTTGGCAGCCTTGCCTTTCTTGTGCGACTGATCCAGGTTCTCGTCTAAGCTTGCGTTAACGACGGCATCCCAATCCTTGTATCCGTAGGTCACGCTCATATGCAGCTCTGTCGCTAGTGCAGATGCGCACGCCGCGACCTTGGTTGAAGGCTCCATGCACCAGGTGTCTCGAACGTCGAGCTTCTCTCCAGCATCAAGTTCTGGATCGCTGTTGGACAGCACCGCAAAGTCAAGCCAGGGTGGATTGTCCCAGGTGGCCATCTTGACCCGAGTGTTTTGCCAACTTGCCATCAGGCTTGCGTCGTTGGCGCTGGTAGCCGTCGTGTCAAAGCCTGCTTCCTCGGTGGCTTTAGTTTTGAACACCATCGTACTGCTCGGTAGCCCATTGGCCTCAACTGCCAAGTCACCTCAGTGGTCATGAGTGTATTCTCACAACACGAGCATGCTCTTTTACAGCCTGACGCACGGGTAGAGAAGGACGTTGGAAGAAAAACATACCGTGTAGATAGGAAGAGTTGAGGCTGGTCAAGAAGCGGTACTGGTTTGTGATGGACATGACGTGCGCTCCCACCATCTTTAACCTTTCGGCCACCAAGCGCACAAATTGTCGCTCGTGCCATGCTGTTACACGTTATCGCAAAGGCAGGTCCGGCCAGTTTGTGAGTCAAGGGGTGTCATGGTCCAATATATCACATAATATGTACAACTACGACAAGCTCAACGTGCTACAAGCCAGAGCACAGGGTGCAGCGGTCGATTGGCGAGCGTCGACTCACCGGTCTCTTCCCACAGGAGCCAGTAGGATAGGGATGGAACGGCGCCAATGGCCAAATTGCGGAGTTGACTGGGCGTGTACTGGTTTGGAGGCAGACGAACCTCAGTGACACAGGTCACATTGTCATTGAACAGCGTGTCGGTGGCGGATTGAAGCCAGGGAGAGACGGAGCCCAGGAGGCTGTAGCTGGGAGAGTCGTTGATGATGAGAAGCACCTTCTTGGCTTGGGTTTGCTCGGCAAAAGATTCCATGGATTTGCGGGCGGCAAACTCATGAGCCCTATCCCCCCCGGTGACCATCAATGCAAAGACCGTTGGACGCACGGGAAAGCCTCCCTTGTTGATCTTGGGTGCTGATTTCAGCTCAACCTGGAGCGCTGGCAGCTCTGCCCCCACCCCCGGCGTCAAATGCACCGTATATTCCACGGTAGGGCACTCGCTATGACGCACGGGTGCAACATCATGACCACTCGGCCCAGCTGCCGTATGCTTTGACCACATCGACAGCGCCAAAGCGCAAACCAGTCCCCAACCGACGCCTCGACCCATGACCGCTTCGTCCAAAGGCAACACCATAAAATGAATAAAGTGTGTGTGTGTGTGTGTGTGTGTGTGTGTGTGTGTGTGTGTGAAGTGAAAAGACAAGGAGTCGACAAAATGCACATGCGTTTTATATTGAATACCTCCCTGTAATTGAAAGTTTACATCCGAATGTGTTCAAAAAATTTAAATAACAGTTTTGTATATCATGGAGCCGTCGTGGCTGGCGGCCGAGGCGGATCGCCTCCTGGCTGGGTACGCCCGGCACGGGCGGGATGGGGAGAACGGGGGCATGTTTCATTACTATCGGGATGATTGGACCGTGTATGATCGGGAGCATCGGCATCTGGTGTCTTCGACGCGGTTTGTGTGGCAGTATGCTGAGCAGGCGCGGCGTCGTGCCGGGACGGAGCAGGGCGACCAAAGCCGGGCCTTGGCGCTGCATGCTTGGGCCTATGTGCGCGATCGCCACTACGACCCGGAAGCGCGTCTGTATCACTGGTCTCTCCGTCAGCACAAACCAGACGGCGAACCCTTTTTCATGTATGGCCAGGCCTTTGTCCTGCTGGCTCTCAGCGCGCTCGTACGCATGGGGGACGTGCCCGAGGCTCAGTCGCGCACGGAACAACTCTGGGATACCCTTGAGGCGCGTTTCTGGGAGCCAGCACATAACGCCTATGCTGATGAGCTTCCCGTTGATGCTGACACCCCGGTCCCTTATCGAGGACAAAACGCCAACATGCATGCCTGCGAGGCCTGTCTCGCCCTTCACGCTGCGACGGGCCAAGACCGCTACTTGCAGCGAGCTCGCGCTCTCGCCGAGACTTTTTGTTTTCGCCTCCCACGTGACAAGGGCATCTGGGAGCACTACAACGAACAATGGCACCCAGACCTAGACTTTAACAAGGATGCCAAGGACAACATCTTTCGCCCCTGGGGCTACCAAACTGGTTGGTCATCGGCAGTGTTTTGAGGATGGTCGCGACCTGGCGTGTGTTGTTTATTTGTTCTTCTGAACAACGTGACTGTGGCACTTATCCAAGGCACCTGCGCGTGCAACAGGTCACCAGGTCGAATGGGCAAAGCTGCTCCTGATCCTTCACGAGGCGCTTCCGCGGCCCGACTACGTGGACAAGGCCAAGGCGTACGTCGTTGCGCCAGGCTTGACAGTGCCGTTGTCAGCATCGCTCATCTGGTGTTTCTTAGGCTTTTTGATTTTGCAGAAAGCTATGGACGAGACCGGCGGCATGGTGGCTGGATCTATGGCTATGATCTCGATGGGCTGCCGTGTGACAGCGACAAGTACTTCTGGGTACAAGCTGAAACTTTTGCAGCTGCGTATCGTCTCTACGCCGTCACTGGTCAGTCCTTCCTTCAAAAGACTTGAGCCCTCGCTGCTCATCTCGGACAATCAAGGTACAAATGACTGAGCAATCGCTGGCTGGTGGTGTCGCCTGCCTGTTGACGTTCTTCTCGCAGGAAATGTGGGGTATTTGCGCACGAGCGAGGAAACGCTAGCCTACTGCCAAAAGCACTTTATTCAATCCGAGCATGGGGGATGGCATCGACTGCTCACTTTTCGAAACCAGCGCAAAGAAGACGTGATGAGCCCTGCGGGAAAGGTTTGTCTGGCGCTACAGTGTACATTGACTTGCATCCGTTTACGAGCGCTGACAGGCAGACTGATCCGTGGACGTTGAATGCATTAGACTGACTACCACATTGTTGGCGCCTGCTGGGACGTGCTCGACGTCATGTCCCTACACCCGCCACTCGCCAACAAAGTTTCAGACACCTCAAGTACCACGCCTTGATCGTCGTTGTGGCTTCTTTTTTTGTTCGATGAGCAGAGCTCGAATTGTAAATTCTTAATTGCCGACTCGACAGTACCAAAGATCATGAGTGCTTCGTTCGGGCAGCATTTCTGGTGCGACGTTGAGTAAATGCTTTTACAGGCATCAATTGCAATGCACAGCAAATGAATTGTGGATCCACACAAATTGCTTGAGATGCCAGCGTGACACCTCAGCACGGCAGATCTACTTTGTGAGGAGGCAGACGAACATGGGAAAAGACGGGAAAAGAGAAAAAAAATGAAACGACACAGGCGAAAATCCACGTTGGGCCCTCGTCTTTAGGGGCGGCTTTTGTGGGATTGGATGTAGTCCATCACGGCCTTGTAGATGAAGCGATATTGTGCCTACGACAACACCCGTGCACACACATGGTAAGAAGCATGTATTGTTTTTTGTTTTGTTTTTTGTTTTTTTCTGGTTCTACTATTATTTTGTCAAGAGTAACATACCGCTGTCTGGATCATGCCTGAGCGCTGTCCACGCAGCTTGTGAATGATGCTTTGGATGTCAATGTCGCAGTCAATGCCTGTCAAATGACCAACATGATGGAGGCAAAGAGACTAACCGTGAGCACCGCACAATAGATAGACTTCAAGCGTTGAGCCTTCTTGATTTTTCTCGCTTCACGATGGTGCGACAACTGACCGTAGTGGCGGATGAGGTCCAGCACAATGTCAATGACCAAGAAAGTACCGGTGCGACCGATACCAGCACTGCAAGGCCCGAGGTGCACCAACGACTGTTAGGACATGCTCCCTGCACCTTTGAAATTGGTCTCGCGGATTAGCATGTACTTGCCTGCAGTGAACCAGCGTTGGGCCGAGGCCGGGGATGCTCTTACGCAGACGGTCGCGATGCTGGCGAATTTTCATGATAAGCTGCAAAAATTCACGCTCGGGTGGCACGCCTACCACGTTGTTCATATCAGATGGAAAGTCCATGAGCATGCCCTCCCCATCATCACAGGAGCGGCACCTAGCGTCGTACCGTGGTCAGGCCAGGACGTGTAGTGGTATTGGTAAATCTCGCGAGGATCGCCTTCGCCTGTTGTCAATGCAGGTATCAATGAGGACGACAGAGGAAAAGAAGCGATAAAACGGGTAAGAGGAGAAAAGAACAAAACGCATGGTTCATTGTCGCCGCTTTGGTGTTGTCTGCACGCGGTTGTAGCTGTACACGTACCAACGGCAACGCTCATGCGACGGACCGTGTACGCATCAAAGTTGTCTTCCGTAAGAAGCTCGACAACATAATTGCCAAAACGCGCCGGTCGCCGTTCGCTGCTAGGCCAATAAGGCGTGCACTTGTGCTGCAAAGCAGGTAAATTATGATGAGTTGTACGAGGCCCTAAAAGCCATACCTTTGCTCACTCATCAATGACATGAACCAACACACCTTGCCCTTCTCAACCGGATTAGTGGCCATGACAACCAGACGGCCTGAGTTCCCGTGCACAGTCCAGCGCAAACAAGCCAAAATAGAAAGCGAGACATAGAGCGTGAGCAAGAGAAATGCGGCAAGCAAGTCTTGCATGTCTGCGTTAGAAGGTGAGCAGAGGCTGTTGGAGAAGCATACAGTTTTGTTCGACAATCATTTGCCAAAAGTCAGCCACCGTGTCGGGCATAGTGCCTTGCGACGCAATGTAGGCCTTGTCAGTGCCTGGCGCTTCGCCGTTGATAAAATTGGCGTTGATGTAGTCGGCGCCAATCACGCCATCAGGAACGTTGCGGAGCTTGACGCGAGTGTGATCGTCTGCACAATGGAGGTACACACGTGAGCTCACGGAACCACAACGCTTCAACTCGGTTTGTGCACGCGCAGTGCACAAATTGATAAGAAAAGAACAAGAGCAAAGCAGGCAATGGAGAAGAGATACAAGTTGTGTTGGCGGGGCAAGGTGGACCTACAGGGCAAGATGTTCTTGTAGCGATTCTTTGACTTGTTCTCGATGCGAGCGCCTTCCATGCGATCAAACTTGTGTTGGTGCTCCATCGTCTGGAGTTGCTCAAACTCCTCATTGAAACCAGCCTTGCCAAACTCCTCCTCGGTTTCCTGCAGATGCATTACAACGTGAGTTAGTCAGCGGGCACAAAGGGCAGAATGACGGCAGGGGATTTCAATATCAAGCCAAGACAGGGGAGGGATTGACGCTTCGTGCCTTGCTGAGTTCAATAAAACGCCCATCAATGCTGGCCAGGTTGAGACGGGTGGCATTAAAGGGCTAGTCGTTTGAAATTGGGGTGGAGAAGCACAGTGCGTGTGGGCGGTGAGTGTTGGAAAGCCTGGTGGAAGGCAGCGGGGGCTGTGCAAGAAGTCGCACCTTGAGCAAGTGCACAACGTTGCCATTGGCTTCCACCAAGGGCTTGCGTTTGTAATATTCCACTGCAAGAGAGCGTGAGACCGCCGTTAGCAGGCGCTTTGCGACGGACGGGGTCAAAGGAAAGGAAAGCGCAGCAGGGCATACCGAGGGAGGTGAGATCGGTAAACGAGGCACCGCCGCCGACATCGAAAGAGCCACCGTTGTTGCGAATGATAATGTGAGAGATGGCATCTCCACAGCTGTTGCAGGCCAGAAGAACTATGAGTCTGGCCAGATCCAGGGGCAGAGAGCGGAGGGCTGCCGATGACGTTGGGCTCAAGGCGCAGGGGTCCTACCGGACTGAGAGGGCAAAGCGACCAGGTTGGGACTGGGAGGCGCGGACGAGAAAGCTGCCGTGCTCGCCGCGCTCACGCAGGGCCGCCTCGCTGTCTGGGCCGGACATTTGACCATGGAACCAGCGCTCAGAGGTTGGGTCCTCGCTGAGGAGCGGGTGTCGCAGATCAATAACATCACCATCCACTTCCTTGAGCTGAACATGTTTGGAAAGGGCGCGGCATGAGAGTGCAATTTGAGAGGGCAAAAGGATAATAGGCCAATGGTGGCAGGCCCCAAAAAAAAAAAAAAAAAAAAAAGAGGAGGGGGCGGGGGGACGAGTCCAAGTGGGTGGAGTCAGAGATGTGGGGTTCAAGTCTGACCTCGCCCGGGTGGGTCGTGTAAAACTGAATCAGTTCGGTCAAGTTGGCAAACTTTTCGCCGCCATACAAGTCGAGAAAGTCACCACTGTTTTGAATCTTGATGTGAGTGACCGAGGCACCGCGGCTGTGTGGGAGGAGAACGGTATTTGGTGAGGTCCATTCCGAGCCGCGGGGTGATCACCAGATCAATGATGAGCTGAGCTGTTTGTGACGATCGACAGTGGCAGGCGACTCAGGGACAGAAGACACGCGACACACCGGACAGAGAGAGCATAGTCTCCTTTGTTGCTCCGGCTTTGTCGCACGAGGAACGAGCCGTCAAAGCCCTGGGTGAGCAGCATTCGCTCGGCCTCCTCGCCCGAGATGTTGGGATGAAACCATCTATCGCGTGGCCATGGCACAAGGCTCTGTCAGGTTTACGGGTGGTGGTGCAGGGGGCATCGGAGAGCCGATACCGTGCGTCTAGAACGTGGTCTACTCACTTGCGAGCCATTGTGTCAGTACCTAAAGGTCATTCCACGGCCAGAAGCGTTGCGCGCGAGGTACGATCAGCAGCAACCAAGATGCGTGAGTGTACCATGGCCAATCCACCGCAGTACCAACAACAACAATCCCTGTCCCCCCTCCGCCTCTCTCTCTCTCTCTCTCTCTCTCTCTCTCTCTCTCTCTCTCTCTCTCTCTCTCTCTCTCTCTCTCTCTCTCTCTCTCTCTCTCTCTCTCTCTCTCTCTCTGTGCCACCACCACCCCAGGCAACGGCCAACCATACGAACAACGGCCCGCACTGGGACCCTGACCGAGCGAGACCCTTTACGCGCTCGTGTGTGTGCGCGCCCGTGTGTGTGTGCGTGCGTACCTCTTGAAATCAAAAGCAGCTTGAGGATGATGAACAGAAGACACAGAGGAAGAGACTCAGAGACTCAGAGACAGAGAGAGAGAGAGAGAGAGAGAGAGAGAGAGAGAGAGAGAGAGAGAGAGAGAGGACCAGAGACACAGAGACACAGAGACACAGAGACACAGAGACAGAGACAGAGACAGAGACAGAGACAGAGACAGAGACAGAGACAGAGACAGAGACAGAGACAGAGACAGAGACAGAGACAGAGACAGAGACAGAGACCAGACAGAGACCAGACAGAGTGAGAGAGACCGAGTGAGAGCACGCCAGAGAGACAGAAAACAAACAGAAACAAAGAGAGAGAGAGAAACAAGAGAAAGGAAGAGTCAAAAGAACCAAAAAAAAAAAAGGAAACAAAGAGCAGGGAGGCACAGGGGAGGCCCGGGTAGCTCCGGCCATCGGGCACACACACGAACACACACACACACACACACACACATTCATACAAAAATGCACAAATGCACAGAGGCAGACATGAGTTGTGGCGAGGGATCAAGCAAGACGCCTTCAATTGTTGTGTTTTTAACTTCTCCGGCAACGCGTCTTGTGACAAGCAAGTTTACTCTTGATCTAGTCGGCCTTTTTGGTTTTGGCACTTGGGGTAGGTGCTTTGGCTGGAAATGCCATGTGGAGGTAGGTACACACCACCACGAGGGGCAGGGCCACCAGCTTGGCCGTGCTTAGGGGATTACCAGCCACCAGAAAGTCGGCCAAACCCGTGATGACGATGCCGGCCAAAATGGCAAACCCCTTGCGCACGCTGCCGGCATACTTGACCACAAGGCCAACCACAATGCCACCGGCAGCCTGCGAGAGGCACGGAATCATCGTGCTGGGAGCAAAATGATAAAGGATGCCCGTGCCCCGAACCGCCTGCAGGTCGTTGGACAGGAGCAGCTTGACCAGCAGCGCTATGGAACTATACACGCCCAGCTCCATGGTAAACAAGAGGCTGTTGCGCTGCCTCTTCTACCGTGTAGCCAAGGATGAGCCGAACCCAGCCGAGCATCGTGAGTCATGAACACAATGCGGCGAGAGAAACACCCCCCCCCCCCCTTCGTGAATAAAATAAAACTAAAAAAAGTGGTGCTGGCTGGCTCGTTCGAAGCGGGTTTACCTGCAGATTCATCTGTGTGATGGCGCTAGCCAAGCCTGAGAGCATAGAGGCCAAGAAGACGGGTCCCACACCACCCAGGAGCCAATGCGCGTAGTCCACCTCGGGCTTGCCTGATGACGTGGCCTGTCCCTGTTGGGTCAGCAATACAGAGGCCCCTAGAAGAGAGGAAGCACCATAATGTGTCGAGTTTGGAATTTCAACCCAAGCGCAACATGACAAGGTCAGAAGAAAGAAAACAACAAGCCATGGGCCAGCGACATCTCTGCTTGGCAGGATGACGTACCAAACATGCCACCCAGGGCGATGCACTGAATCAGCGACTGTGCCTTGCCCAAAATCAGATAAACACAGATCGCCGCGAAAATCGTTTTGGTCTGGTTGATCAGATTGACCGTGAGCCCATCCAAGTAGGCATAGCCCGCCAACATTAGCAAGTTTTGACATGAGTAGATGATCGCCGGCACGCCGGCAGCACGAATGCTATCTACGCAAGGGAGCGTACGGCAGCAGCACAGAAGACCATAAAATCAGCAATTGGACAATTTGACGACGACATGGGGAAATCAAAGGATTGCATGCATGATCGCGCATTGCAAACAGCTGCGCCTACCTGCCAAGGTCCAACCCTTGAGCGCCTTGGGCAATTCACCCGAGATGTAGAGCATGCCCAGAGCCAGCACAAACTTGCTGAGCTGTGAGGCACGCAGCATCGGACGGCTGAGATGTGATCTGCTGTTCCGCATGCCAAGCTGGACCGAGCTAAAAACACGCTCATCATTCCAGAAACCAGCGAGGCAGCGAAAAGGATACCTCTGTCACCAGCACGACCACCACCGTGTGCGCCTTTTGGTCTAGGTACAGCTGATTGAACAACGGTTGCAGGCCAAACTGAAGCGCCAGCAACAGCATAAAAAGCACCCCTCGTCCCTCCATCCTTGAACGTTTCCACCACCACAATCTCCTTTGGATCAATCAAAGCCCAACGACGCTGCCAAGCCAGCCGATGCGCCGTCGCCGCGCCGTCGCCAGAAAAAAACAGAAAAATGCTCCAGAAAGTGCGCGCTGCGTCACTACCAACTGTAACAACTTTCATCATGGCCCCAGCTTGACGATTGCGACATCGAAAAAGGTCACTGATGCCATTTTTTTTTTTTTTTTTTTTTCATTTTTTTTGGTGTGGACGACAACGATGGTGCACAAGATGATGCTGGTGCGGGTGGCGGTGTTGGCCATCGTGGCGGCGGCGGCGGCGGCGGAAACGACGATCAACACTGTGCCTGAGATTGCCAAGGGTGGTGAGACGGCGTTTTTTGACTCAAAGGTCTTTACTGGCCTGCTTTTGGGCGACTGGGGCGGGTAAGTGTGCGCACCGTTCTCACCTGCCGCGAATGCGTACGGACGATCAGCCCAAACGCTGGAGGAGGAGTTTTGCAGCACGGCCAAGATGACATTGAATGTCATTGCGGCAGGGCAGAGATCTGGTCACCCCTTGCTCATGTGTGATATGTGTGTGCTTGCTTGTCATTGTTCTTGATGTGGCTCTGTGCCGTTCAGAACCAACAAGAGCCCGTACACCGAGCCCGGACAGGTGGCTTGCGCAGCAAGCCTGGGCGAGGTTGCTGCCAATCTCGATGCCGATATTGCCCTCCTTCTTGGCGGTTTGTCACTGCCTGGCCGTGGACCCCACCCGTCCATTTGGTGCAACGACTGGCTCACATGATCTCACTCAGCATCTGATCATTGCAATGGCCTTGTCAACAAACTCCTTTCCCGTTTGCACGCTGTTACCTTGACACTGGTCAGACAACTTTTACGACTCTGGTGTGCATGGCGATGAGCACGACGCTCGCTTCGAGGAAACGTTTGAGAACGTCTACACCGCCGACAGCCTGCAAGATATTCCCTTTTACGTGGTAGGTAGAGCCACGGCAGATGCCGAGCTGCGGCTGGGCGAACCTCAAACTCACAATCGAGCGCGGCTGATAGGTGGCCGGCAACCATGATTGGCTCGGCAATGTATCGGCTCAGATCGGCTACAGCACGGTGAGTGGTTGCAATGCAAGAGTGTGCGATGCATGCCCAACGGCTTGGCCGTCAGGCGTTGGGCACGTGCCTTTCGCTCACACCCAAGGGCTCACGACTGGCTTGTTGTTTTTATTAGCTAAGCGCGCGCTGGATCTTTCCCTACTATTTCTACACGCGAAGCTTTTCGTGGCCCGGAGAGACGCGCAACGTGACAATGGACGTGCGTTCTTTTTTTTTTTTTTCCTTTTTTTTTTTTTTCTTCTGCTTTTCTTTTTTTTTTTTTCTTTTTTTTTTTTTTTTTCCTTGCTGGCAACCGCCAAGACAAAAGGCTTGTGCATCGTTGCTTGAAACCCTCTGACAGCGTGTTGTGCATGCGTACGCAGATTGTGTTCATCGACACCATCTTGCTCTCGGGCAACTCTGATCTCTTGGAAGACAAGGTATTCGTTGATGAACAGGGGCGCAGCTTGCTGATGCAAGCAGGCATCACCGTGCTCACGGCCACACGTTTTTTTGTCACAGTTTGGCGAGCTCCAAGGACCGGCTGATCCTGTCATGGCGGAGACGCAGTGGGCCTTTATCGAAGCTGCGCTCAACTCCTCGCAGGCCGATTATCTCTTCACTGCAGGCCATTACCCCGTATGGAGTGGCTGCCAGCATGGTCCGACCCTGTCACTTGTGCGCAAGCTCAAACCCATGCTGGAACAATACAAGGCCACCGGTCATTTGGCAGGCCATGATCACTGCTTGTACGTCTCGCGCCCAATGCTTCTTGTCTTTTTACGCTCTCCTCTTGGGCAAGATCTGTGATTCCGCAACAATTCTTCGTTTCTCTTCATTCACGGCCTGCTCTGACACATGTGCAGGCAATACATTGACGAGGGCAAGGGCCCTGTTTATCCTCAATCTGGTGCTGGCGACAACTGCTGCTACCACAACAAGCACGAAAAGTCGTGCCCCAAGGGCTCGATCAAATTCAACATGTGGAACGACGGCTCAGGCTCGCCGATCGAGGGCGGCTATGCCACCTTCACCGCCACAGAGGCGGAGGTCAAGTTTCAGTTTTACGCGGCCAACGGAACCGTCCTCTTTGAATCGCCTCCCGTTTTGCCTCGCGAACTCTAAATGTTTAGATGGGTCCTTCCAGAGCCACTCATTTTAGAGCTGCACCCCCCTCTCGTGCGGCACAGCTCTTGATTGCTTTGCCACCCTCTCAGATCAATCAATCCATTGCTCTGAGTATGCCCTCTTCATTTCAGCTCACCCTCTGTCCTCAGCAAGATGCCAGCATCCGCCTCACCAACCGATAGAAATCGGCACCTAGAACCCCCCCCCCCCCAACCACACACACACACACACACACACACACACACACACACACACACACACACACACACACCTCCCAATTTGTCACGTAACACCAGTTACTCCATAGTCAGTCGTATCTCTCACCATCCTCACCCCACCTAGCACAGTAGCATCATTAAAAATGATTTCCGAATGCAGAAGGAGAGAGAGATTCAAGATCTTGATGTTTTTGTTTTTGTTTTTGTTCTTTGCGTGTGTGTGTGAAAATTGTTATGAGCATCATGAAAACTTTAGGCAAGCAGCTGGCGGGGAGCAGGCCGTATGGGCTGATCGTGGTCCTGGGATGGCTGTTGCAGAGCCAGAGCTGGTTGCAGGTGGCGGGCAAGATTGTTGTCGTGGAGTTGCCGGAGCAGATTAGCCAGGTGCCGACCGGCGTCAACTACGACAACCCGTTTTACGCCACCAACATCTCTGGCACTGTCATTGGCTACAGCGCCAACCAGTGAGTTGGACTCTGTGATCGACTACATGGTTTCATCACAGTGGGGTGGCCTTGCTGCGAGCACTGCACTCCCTCACCATAGCCACTTTTGCCTAGAGTATGCTATCGCATCACGACTGGCGCCACGGTGGATGCAGTCCTGCCCGAACCCGTGCCCATCAACTTGTCCCGTGGCTCCGCCCTGGACACGTGCGGCAGCTGGCTCAACGCCGTTATGTATGACCCCAGTGAAGGTGATGCCGGCTTGCCCGCACGGACTCGACAGTTTAACAGCCTTTGACGGCGATTCTTTGCCGCGCTATCCTCATCGCTTTTGTTTGGGTGCGGGCCCTAGATGTGGTTCGGGGCTGGTATCATGAGGAATGGGAGTGCGACTACGCCCGCAACTCCTATACCAATAAAAGCATTGCCTACGCCGAATCTCATGACGGCGGTAAGTCAAGCACTTCCACCAGACGATGTCTTCCAAAAGAGAGCCAAGCACGGAGGGTGAATCCTGAAGGAAGAATTTGATGTGTACAAGGGCTGCCGATCGCCTCAAACTGATGCGTCCATCATCATCATCATCATCATCACCATTATCATGCAAATGTGAGCAGGCTACAACTTTAGCAAGCCCAACTACCCCGACAACTACATCATTACCAGCCCGCCTGGCAATTCCTCCACAACACACCAGACTGGTGAAGGAGATCACACTGGTATGATACTCATCCACGCTGACCCGGTGCACACCCCGCGGCAAAGTGTACTCATGCCGCCATGGTTGCGTCGTGTTTTCGCACATGTCCAGTCGTGCGGGTGGGCGACTACTATTATCTCTATTTCCTAGACTGGAACGCCCAGCCCACGGGACCTCGCGTGGCCGTGGCTCGTAGTCACGTCCAAGACGGTGGACGTCCCAACTCTTGGTGGAAATGGCATCACGTTCGTGCCTGTCAATGTAGATGCCGTTACCTGACGCAACCTCTGAAGAGGCAAGATCCTTTCCCTAATCAAGTCCTGTGCACGATGCTTTTGCTTTGCAGGGTAACTTTAGTTCTCCTGGTCGAGGAGGCGAGTGTGACGCCCTTGAGGGTATCGCAAGTGCTTCCAGCGTGCGCTATCGCACACGACAGAACGACTTTGTGGCAGTCGAAGTGCGTGCTCTCCGATGGGTGTGATCTGTCTCGCCTTCTAAAAACTCCAGAGCACTTCTCACGCGCCCGCTGGACTGCTGTCCTCCTATCTCACGCAGAACATTGGTGCACTCGGCGGACTGGGCATGGTGCATTCCACCGACGGGTTTCACTTTGCCGCGCTGAACGTATCCCTTGTTCCGTTGATGGCGTAGGTTAAAGGCATGAGATTCTGCATTGTTGTGGTAACCTTTGTTTGTACACTTTAGCCGCCGCAGCTTGACGCTCATACAGAATTTGCCCATAGCCAAACGTGGGACCGCGAAGCAAACTCGCCCGAACTATATGCCTATATCTCCCTTGTGGGTCCTGGTGGAGCAGAGGACATTGACACCAACTTTTATCTCTACTACACCTACCTTGAGGTATGCATGTTGGACCTCCGCAGCAACAGCCCCGCCCAAAGCTGAGAGGTGCAGCAAAGGTGATGCAGATTTCGAAGATCGTGTACATTTTGCCCTTCCAATTTTGTCGATAGCCTGGTGCATCGTTTGCAGAGCGATATTTGGTGCGGCGGCCGCTCGCGGTGAGTATCAGCGCCCTCTGGTGTTGTACGACAGAATCCTATCCGCCTTGGGCTGATTCGACTTTGCTGGTAGGTGCCCGATCTTTCCGCTACAGAAACACTTTTGGCATTTCAAGGCGGCAGCAACGGAACCCATGCGTGGGCCACGACAGCACTCATGTTACGCGCATACAACTACTCTGCGCGTACTCTAGGCTATCTGCTGACCCGGCCGGCATCTGGTACTGGAGATGCGTCCTTGCCCCCGCCTCCCGTGTGTACGCCTGCTGCATCCATCCTGATCCTTAATTTTAAACGATGGTGATTGTAGGACGTCGAGCGCTGTATGACTGCTATCTCAATGCTTCCGCCGTATGTTGCAACGTCTTGGCCTGTCTTGCCCTTGCCCCGGATCCAGCCAGGAACGTAAACGTCGCTACATGTTTGTGCGATGTGCACTCGAACGTTGCTGTCCTGCTGGCTAGGTTTATATGACGGGTTTGGAGGGCGAGTGCGCCGATGGCATCATCCTGCGCACACTAGGCTATGCTGCAGATGCGGCCACAACGTTGCCAGCAGCGAATGGCTTTGCCCCAGTCCAACTGTGGTGCGTTTGGTTTGCTTTTCGGCCGCCCGCAGATCGCAACGGCTTCTCAGCAGGTGTGATTGTATCGGGGATACGCGTGGTTTGTAGGCGATGCAAGGATGCTTCGAGTGCGCGCTACATCACCACGACAAGCGCGTGTGCTTCTGGGGCAACCAGCTCAAGTCTGGGTTGGATTCTAACTCGCACACAAGCATGAATGCACTTGTAAAAGCAGAAACAAAAGCGCCTGTAACAGAGCAAAACTTGACATTGGGCGCGAGCACGCTCAGCGTGTCTAGGGGTAGCAGTAGCATGCGCGCAGGTGTTGAATGACACCTGCCACAATCGAGTGGCCCCTTTTCTTCTTTTTCTGATGAAGCAACCCTGCCGTCACACTCGTCTGACGTAGCTTGCTACACACACACACACACACACACACACACACACACACATACTCACTCACTCACTCACTCACTCACACGCGCGCGCACACACACACACACACACACACACACACACACACACACACACACACACACACACACACACACACACACACACACATATCCTTGACCCAAGGCGCAAGGGCGTAAAAGAGGAGCATTTAACTGTCGCAAGCTCAAGTGCGCTTGTGGGCCACGTGCAGGTCATCCATGCCAGCTGTGACGGCACTGTGAGTTCGATCAATGACACTCTCGATGTGGTCCAGGTGCTCGCGTTGATCAGTCAAGAGATCACTAGTATCACGCATGATGCTGTTGATGGTGGACATGTCTTGTTCTAGGAGGCGTATTTGTTCATTTCGATGTGCAATCCGCTCCTGTGACTCGGCGAGTCGATGTTCATCGTCCTCGATCAGTTCCATCTGCAGAGTTGCCGGTTGAGCCATGCTATCATCAGCGAGGACATGTTCCTGGTGGTCCACGGAACCGGGTCCGCGAGGGTCAGTTTCTGCTGCTGCGGCGCCCTTGGAGATGATAACCCCGCGGTCCTTGGCCTTGGATTTGAGCGACTCGATGCGCTCCTGGAGAGCGACCAGCCATTCTTGCGCCAACGAAGCGGAAGCGCGGAAACGATACACCCGGGTCTCATTGCAAGGGCTAATTTCAAGATAGACCATGTTCTGGGCCGTGGTACTGCTATCGTTGGTAATACGGTTGATAGCCACGTGTGCGCCTTTGAGCCAGATATCACCTGACATGATAAGCGAATGGTGAGGGACACCCAAGGCGCAGTTTTCATGCCCCGACGCGAGACAAAGGCCTGAAAAGAACGGCAGCCCTACTCAGCGACAAGGAGACGAAGCGTCACGGCCACGGTGGGCACCAACCTTTGGGTGCTACGTCGGTTGGCACCTTGTAGTACTCTAAGCGCGCTGCCCGAATCTCCACCCATCGCTGCTGCCAGGCACGACTAGAGGAGCGAATGAGGTAGGGTAGGTGAGGGGCGCGGCGACAGAACAAGGACCAGCGCAACATGACAGCCAGCTCGTTGTCAAGAACGTCATACTTGAGTTGGCCCTTCTTCTCGAGAAAGCCAGCCTTGAAGGCAGGCTCGCGAAGACTGGCAATGGCAGCCCGCACTTGGGCATCGCCCTCGGTACCCTCTGCAGTCGCTGGAAAAGGCAGACACAAAAATGAATCAAACAGCCGGGAAATGTTCAGAGCCGCCGCTGGGTAGAGCTGGCAAGAGCAGTGCAGCGATGTCACGGGTGGTCCGTTGAACAGGAAGCCCAAGGCGGACGGGTGTGATTCCCAACCTGAGGCGGAACGAGACGTGCGCACAACGACGTCGTGCTGGAGTGGTTCGGTAGGGCAGCTGTCCGCGCGTGCCTGCCATGACAAAAAAATGGTGTGTGGAGTAGATGATGCAGCGCCACCAGCGTTAGAGGGTGGCACAAAGGCCTGTGCGGGCGGTCACATGCACGGGCACCTCCAGCCCACCTTTGGCGAGGCTTGGCGCAGGATAGCGGCCTGCCACAGCCGCATGCGATCCTTAGAGCCACGTAAATGGTACACGCGCTTGCCCGCTGGGACTGTAATGTGTAGGCGATGGCGCCCTTGGGCATCCTGCATGGCCAAAGGCGAAGGGAGAGATGAGGATACCGCTCATCGAGCATTCGCAGAGCAAGAGATGCGACGTCGTACAGGTGCCTCATCCAGCTGAACGGTGGCGCCTTGGATGTCAAATTGACCCTTGGGCATCGCATCACTACGCGCTTGGCGATAAGTCACCATCGAGTCCCGAAGCTCAAAGTACCTGCATCACCGTAGCCGCCGCCATAATCACACCATGAGCGCGAGGTACATCCAGCAAAAAAAAAAGCCACTTCCCAGCCTAGCCCGCCAGGGATACAAAGGACCACCACAAGCACCTCTTACCTGCTCTTCCAACCAGTGTTGACATGACCCTGCTTCTCAAGCCATTCCTCCAACACGGGCTCACGCCTCACACTGTCCGCCGCCATTTCCGCGTATGGTCAGAGACTAGATAGAGACACACACAGAGAGAGAGAGAGAGAGAGAGAGAGAGAGAGAGAGAGAGAGAGAGAGAGAGAGAGAGAGAGAGAGAGAGAGAGAGAGAGAGAGAGAGAGAGAGAGAGAGAGAGAGAGAGAGAGAGAGAAGAGAGAGAGAGAGAGAGAGAGAGAGAGAGAGAGAGAGAGAGAGAGAGAGAGAGAGAGAGAGAGAGAGAGAGAGAGAGAGAGAAAGAGCCAGACAGACCATAAGACTCGGATGAGAGACCAGTGCACACGGCTGTGCAGGGCTTGGGCATGGGTGGCTTGTCTGCTAGGGCAAGGCGGCCAGCTGTATGGAACAGATTTAATATTATTCTTCACAGCATCATGTCCGGGTGGGTGGGTGTGAAGCGCGGCAGACTTTGTTGAAGATGCGATTGAAAAGGAAAGAAAATGAGCGGCCGAGAAGAGGCGCACAAGAACAAGAGCTACCATGAGAAGGAAAAAAAAAAGATGCGCCGCAAAGGCACCTTCCGGGCCGCACGCAGCAGCCAAAGCAAAGCCGTCGGGCGTTTGGGGACGCTGGCACGTCGCAACGCAAGGGCACATTAGATGTTGGGAACGCAGGCCAAGAGGCGCAGCTCCTCGCTGCGGGTCCCATACATGTAATGCTCGACCAGATCGGCCAATGAATCAAAGGTGCGGTCGGGGCCAACATAACGATACCGGTGGCCCACGGCCTCGATGGTGTTGTGCAGGATCTGGACGGAAGGCGGAAGGGGGACATGGTCAGAAAGGCCGGTGCGCGCTTTGTCCTATCACGCGGGAACAGGGAGACAGGATGGCAGGGGGGCAAGCATACTCACCCGGCCGTGACGGCACATGGTAAGCGCATAGCACCGCGGCTTGGAGGCTGGTCGAATCAGAAACATGCCATCTTGCAGCCCCGCCTTGCGGAGCATGCTTTCAGCTTTCTGTCACCAGTACAGAGATAACGACGGGGTCAGAGCCAACGAGAGGGGGAATGGGGGTGGGGAGGAATTGCATTGCGTGTTGTCACACGTCCGCTTAACTACGAGGGGGCGGAAGCGGGGGCGGGCCAGACCTGGCGGTCAACGGTCATGTGAAACCAGGGTGGGTTATTTGGATTGACCGAGGGGGTCGGGGCGGGTGCCGGCATTGGGGCTGGCCGGGAGGACATGACTGGTACGGCTGGGCGGGGCATGGGTTGATGGTACTCCACAGGCAGATCCGGAAGCACCAAATCATCTTCATAGTCGGGCACTACGCGGGAGCGTGCAAGTTTTGAGAGGGAGCTGGCGGCGAGCATGGTGGGTACAGCAGGCCAGAGTTTGGAAAGCTGATGGAAGGACAACAAAACAAACCAGCTGGGGCGGCGCGAGGGGCTGGAATGGCAGGCGGTGGTCGAGCAGAAAGTGGCGTTGGCTGAGGACTATCCATGGGAGTTGGTAAGGGTCGCGCACGGCGCGGAATGTCAGGCCCCTACAGCAGACCACATGCCATGAGAAGGGCGCGTGAGACAAAATCCACAACGCTCGCTTGCATGTTGACTGGGATGGGGTCGCAAGGACATACGGATGAGGGACTACCGATGAGGGCGCCAGAGCCACGTAAGTCATCGTCGCGGACTGGCATGGCGGGAGGTGCTCGCACCACGCCCGAGGCCGGAGGTGGCAGCTGTAAGTGGGAAAATAAACACGACGCACGATGGTGAGGGGCGGACAAGGTCGCCGTATAAAAAAAAGGGCAAACGCGTGCAGTCGGCGGCAGGGGCAATGGCTGGACCGGGGCCGTACCGGGCGGCGATCTAAGCTGTTGTAGGCCTCTGAGCTCTGACTGCTGGCGGAGAAGGAGGGCTGAGACTGAAAGCCACCATCGCTCTGGTACCCTCCGGGCTGAGGGGGCAGGGGTCGCCGCTGCAAGTCAATGGGAACACCATTGTTCTTGAGGACAAAGTCGTCGGAAGGCAGCTGCAACGGCGGCCGGTTGTGAATCGGGGGAACGGGCGGGGGTCCCGTCTCGTCCTCTGACTCTGACTCTGATTCGTTCACGTTTTGCACCCATTGAAAGCCGGCCCGCTGGTTCCGCGCCATGGTTGCACGCCCTTGCAGCGGCCCAGCTCAGCAGCTAGCCAGGCAGCCGGCGTCGTTTGCGTGATTGATACCCCCCCGCCGCCTCGCCGTCGTGTTGTGCGCGCGCAGAGAGAGAGAGAGAGAGAGAGAGAGAGAGAGAGAGAGAGAGAGAGAGAGAGAGCGGGGCAGAGGGTTGAACGGGTCGATGGTGAAATGAAAGAGATGGGCAAAAGGCCAGGACGATTTGGAACGGTTTTCTTAGGCACATACAGTGGAAAGCAGAGAGATGACGCGAGGGGCTGTAATGTGCAGAGAGCCGAAGGGGCGGCGGATGCGACAAGATGTGGTCCAGCTGATTGGGCATGCGGCATGCGACAACTTTTAGACGGATTACGTCTGGGAATGTCAGATGTTTTCTTCGGTCGGTATTGCAACACCCATGCGGGTGTCAATATGTAGCTGATAATGACGTTTTGACCCCCAGACAATAAATGCGCAGTGTCAGTCGCCGCTGAGACGAGAACAGTTGAAGCGACGCATCATCATCCATAAGAAGAAGAAGAAGAAGAATTCGCAAAAGGGCGGCGGTATCAAGGAGAGGGCAGCTGGGTTGATGGGTCCCCGAGTTGAAGCCAGGCGGACGAGGCGGCGAAAGGGCTGGCGCGTGTTCAGGTTTAACTGCTCGCATGAACCACCGGGCGGGGGGAGCATTGTGGGGAGGCTGATAGGGAGACTCTGCGGGAGCGAAGAATGGATTGGAGGAAATGGCAGAAGAGAAACGACATTCAAGGGTGATCCAATGTAGAGAAGCGAAGCGAGGTTGGAGTTGGTCAGAGGGACAAGTCCATCGTGAATAAATGCTGACATTTATCCATGGTGGCATCAAGGTCTTTTCAGAGAATGCGTTAGTTTTGCATTCGCATGATAGAGAGACGGCTTGACCCGGATGGCCGAGGTAGAGAAAGACCTTTGTAGTTTTCTCGTTTTTCCGGCAGCAGCAACAGCAGCCGCTCAACCGCTCCAGCACGGCGCTGGACACCCGACAGGTACGGCGGATCCCCGACAACACGACGATACCAACGATGTGACTCCACAAGCTGGCGAGCGTTGGGGCCCAGAGTAGCAAAGGGCTTTTGACGGGATCCGAGCAGAAAGGGCGCGGGGCAAATGTGTGTGTGCTTGTGTGTGTGTGTGCATGTGTGTGTGTGTGTGATCACGCAGGGATGAACGTCGGGGGCGGAGACCCTTGCCGGCTACTACTACCCAGGGCCGATCATGCCTCTGATTGATTGTTATTTTTATGTTGATTTTTTCTGTGGTGGTCTTGGGCTGGTCATGCTCTTGCCGTTCACCCTGACCCGCACCCGCGCTCTTGCCCTGTGCTCCCATAGCTCGGCGCTTCAGACCACCCACACACCGCGCGCGCGCGCGCGAGGGGGAGGGGGCAGTGTTTGATTTCTATCCACCGGCGACAAATTGCGTTTTGCTCTACTGTTGTTGTTGTTGTTGTTGTTGTTGTTGTTTCATTTTTATTTTTTTATCGTTTTTACTTTTTTACTTTTTTTTTTTTCACTCGCTCAAGGCGCTCAAGATCATTCTCGAGGAGCAGCTCAGGGGACGTTTGCCCCTCGCTTGCGCGGCTTGCTGTTGATCGCTGTCTCCCCTCTTTGCCTCTGTTCCCCGGTTGATCTTGGGGGATGGAGCAGGCGGCTTTGCTGCGGGACGATGGCTCCCCCAATGTGTCGGACGTTGAGGGTGGTCTGCGCTCGGCTGTAGATGACGAGACTTGCGTACGTCAATTGGCCCGTGCCGCTGGGCCCTGGTGATGGTGGTCGCGGTGCGCTTGCGCTCGCGCTGCGGCGTTCTCACCTCGGATCTTTTGCATCCGCAGCCGGCGGTGCTGGACCTGGAGCAGGCCTTTCACCGCATCGGCTACGGCTGGCAACAAATCCGTGTTCTTGTGATCTGTGGCCTCTGCTTCTGCACTGATAGTATCGGTTGGTTCACGTCTCCTGTGTGTCGCGCGCCACTCATGCCTGCTCGTGTCTGCTCGCGTCTCGATAACACTCTCAAACCCTCGCTTGCCACCCGGCTTTTGGTTTTCAGAGGTCGGTCTGCTCTCCTTTTTGCAGGCCGAAGCCAAGGTAGACTTTCACCTCTCCACTACCGAGGAATCGCTCCTCACCTCCATCGTCTTTGCCGGCGAGCTGACCGGTTCGTCCATCTTGTTCTCGTGCCGACCGGCGTGCAGGCATCATCCCAATCATTTCACGCATGTCTGCACCCGTCAACCCCCAGGTGCCTTGATCTTTGGACCCATGGCTGATCGCTATGGTCGCAAAGCTGCTACGTTTGCCTCGGCTGCCCTTGTCGCCATTGCTGGCGTAGCCAGGTACGCGCGACTCAAGGGACACCGCCCACATGGGTTTCTTGCTTGATTGCCCTTGTTCCGTTATCGTGTTTGTTTGTTTGTTTTTCTTGATTTTTTTTTTCTTTTTTCTTTTTTGACCGATCGATGTTCACGGGGTTGCCACTGCCGTCTCGCTTCCTACAGTGCATTTGCGCCCAACTTTGAGGTTTTGGTTGCGCTGCGCGCCTTTGTCGGCCTGGGCATTGGTGGCATGGCCGTCCCCTTTGACATCTTGGCCGAGTTTATGCCCTCGGAATATCGTGGCAAGGGTATGTCATCTGCTTCGAATTGTGGGTGGGGCTTTTATTCTTGTTTTTTTTTCCTGACCCCGAACTTGACTGCACGTGCCGAGCACTGTCCGTGATTTGTTTTGTTTTCGTTTTGCTTCTGTCGGCCTGAACCTCACACCTGTTTTGCGGGTGGCTCGGCACGCAGCCTTGATGGGCATTGAATTTTTTTGGACCTTTGGCACGTTGTTTGTCAATGGACTGGCGTGGGCCATGCTCTCGGCTGAGGGCTGGCGCCTTTTGGTTGGGTTGTGCTCAGTCCCCGTGGTCTTGGCAATGCTCTCGTTTCCCTTCATGCCAGAAAGCCCGCACTGGCTTTTGACGGTTGGGCGATCTGAGGATGCAGTCGTGGTTCTGCGCCGCGCGGGTGAGCTCAATGGGCGGCCTGGCGCTATTGGGCCCAACACGCGAATCGTTCTTCATCACGAGACGACCCCCAGCATCAAGTATTCCCTGAGCTCGTCCCCGCCGTCTGCGAAGAAGTACAGCAGGACCGATGGTGATGGCACGAGCGACAGCGACAGCGATGAAGAGCGCGAGCGCCGGGCGCAAGTCACCATCCAAGATGACGCGCAGAGCGTGGGAAGCCTCAAGGAAGAGGCAGCACACAACTCGATGAGTGTGCGGGCCCTGTTCCAGGCCAAGTACCTGCGCACAACGCTGCTGCTGTTCACCACGTGGTTCTCGACGGGATTGACCTATTACGGGACGGTGCTGATTGCGCCCGAGTTTTTCTCGCAGTCGGATGATCCGACGGACTTTAACTATCCGTCGCTCTTCATCACCTCCCTCGCCGAGCTCTTTTCGTGTACACTGGCCTTTTTCCTGATTGATCGAGTCGGGCGCAAGGCGCTCTCAGGCTGGGCATACCTCACCTGCGGTGTGTTCACGGCCATCCTCATGGGGGCCAAGCACATGCCCAAGGGTCTGGGCATTGTGTTGCTCATGGTGGCGCGCGGGTCCATTTTCATTGGCACGAGCACCACCTGGGTGGTGACGCCCGAGCTGTACCCGACAACCGTCCGTGCGGCTGGGCACAGCTGGTGCAATGCCCTGGCGCGCGTCGGAGCCTTTGCTACCCCGTATTGGGGCAACACGGAGGCCGTGCCTTTTGAATTGCGCCTGCTTTTCTATGCCGTCTTTGACGTGGTGGCCGCCGTGGCCTCCTTCTCTTTTCCGAAGGAGACGGCCGGCAAAGCGCTCATGGACGATTAGACGGCAAAAGTTTCAAGAGAGACCCTTTTTTTTTCTATTGTTTTGTCTTTGAAGTGTGCATGTATGTGTGACTGACTGTGAATGTATGGATGTGTGCACATGCGCGTGCAGGCTGAGAGTGGCCGAGTGCCTGTGATGGTAAAAGACGGCAGGGCAGGCGCGAACGCAAACGTTTAGAAGTAGGGGACAATCAAACACGCGAACGGATTTTATCTTTGCTTTTGTCTGACTTTTTGTTTTGTCTGACTTTTGGTGGTGGCTGAATGTCAGACAGAACCAGTGGGAGTTCTTAAGAATCCGTGGGGGTTGGATTGGTTTTTCTTCAGAACCAGTAGAGTACCACGTCAAGCCGCGTGGATGGCGAGACCCACATGCCAGACGTTTATGTCCTATTATGGTGTCCTATATTTTGTGGAACTGCTCGCGTTACTCCCATCGATTCCCACACGCCCGCCTACCCAACACCACTCCGCGCTCCATACCCTGCTGCATGCTTCTTTTGTTCGGGGCACATGCGCTTGGCATGTGTGAACGTCTCTCTCCAACTCTCGTGCCTGAACAACGATGGCCGCCCCGTGTTGTCGGGCGGGATGACGGGTTTCGGGGTCAGATGCGCCCAGGATTGGGGAAAACAAAAAGTGTGGCCCTTATGACGCGACTGTCAATATTTCGGTGGGGAGCATTTTCAAACGTGCTCAACACTCTGAACGCACTGGTTCGTGGCGGACAGGCTGTGTGTGTTGGATTGATGGTGCGTTTGGCTTTTTCGTGCCATATCAAACAGATGATACACGATTCGCCGGACAAGTAGCAGACAGACAGACAGACAGACAGACATTTATGATGCCATGCGGTTGTTGGGACGAGGCAAGGTCGCATCTGGCCTCGCCGATTCCGAGGAACTGGCTCGATACGCCATGCAGGTCGATCCATGGAGGCAGAATGACGGCATATGGTCTTTGGACATGAGTTTGGCAACCTGTGCGCGGGAGGGAGGTTGCCCCCTTTCAAATGGCTCCGCTCCTTAACGCCACCAACGTCAATGTGAAGGGTCACGCACAGGCAGACAGAGAGACGAGAGAGAGCGAGAGAGCGAGAAAGAGAGGAGAGAGAGAGATTACACACCTCGCGCCTTGTGTGGGTGTGGGTCGGTGCATGTCATGGGATATGTGCGTAAAGGACGCTTTTTTGTTGGAAAAACACTTTACTCCTCTCTCTCTCTTGAAAATCTCTTGGCTCTCTTGAACCGTCTCGTCCCTTCTCTCTATCTCTGTATCCGTCTCTCTCTGCCAGTATTAAGTATCTGTCTGTGTGTGTGTCTCTCCCTCTCAATCTCTCTGTTCACTTCTCTCTTCTCTCTGTCTCTCTGTCTGTCTCTCTCTCTGTCTCTGTCTCTCTTCCCCCACACCTTCTCTCTCTCTCTCTTTTTTCTCTCTCTCTCTCTTTTTTCTCTCTCTCTCTCTCTTCTGTGCTGTGCCGGGTTTCCGAGTTGATCGCCGCAATTTCTTCTGTTTGCTCAAGGGTTGATTGCCGGTTCCTTGGCTGGTTGGGCCTTCAAGACACCTTTGCCTCTGCCTGCTCCATCACAGCAACAGTCTTAGCTCACCCAGCGTGTGTCAAGGTACGTCGCCCCACCGGTCAGTCGGTGTGCGCCACTCGTCCCTTTTTCTTCACTCCCGGCACAACAAAGGCCTTGGTGTTGCATCGTGTGCAACTAGTTCAACGCAAACTCCCTCTCTCTCTCTCTTCTCTCTCTCTCTCTCTCTCTCTCTCTCTCTCTCTCTCTCTCTCTCTCTCTCTCTCTCTCTCTCTCTCTCTCTGTCTCTCTCTTC